ATTTTATGTGTTTCTCTTTATCATAACCGGGAAGGTCAAAGACAACTTGTTTAATTGGCGAATCTGCTGGTAACTTTATCTAGCTATTCTGCTATCATGATTAAAGGCTTGCTTTTGATGCGGCCGTTTGTTTTATATAGAATATACCTAAATATAAAATGTGCATTATAATACTTTTAAATAATATGTTTCGGTCACCGTAAACATACTGTTTCGATCATCGATCACAAATTAATTTTACAAGGGCCACATGCAGCCTCTGATACGGACCTACCGTAACCGTATATTTCGCCTGTTGCCCTCGCAAATTTAATAAAGCGATAATGTAATTGTAAGGTTAATATTGTGGTAGCGAAAATATGAAAATAAAATAATGCAATCCGGATCTGGATCGCCGACTTGGTTGTTGCCGTCGGGATCTGAGATCACTCTTGGCCGCCTATATCTCAAACCCCACGTTCACTATACTTTTAACATAAGCATTGCCTCTCTACCTAGATCCTTCACTCAACGCTTTAAGGCTTTAAGTTAAAAAAATTATGGAAAAGGAAGTAAAATCTTAAGTTGCCTGGTGGAATCAGCACAGAAAATGCAACTCCTGAAAAAATGCTTTGATATGGTTTGGAAGTACAAAACAGATTTTCGTCGTCAATTAATAACTATGGATGAAAACATCATTATAGGTACACCCGAGACAAAACGGCAATGCAAACAGTGGATAGCATAACACGAAGAAAACGAAAACGATGATCCGATAAGGCTGTGGCGAAGGAAATATTATTCGAACCTACTAGAAAACCGTCTCGGTTTGACAAATAAAGCAGACCACCAAGACAATGTCCCATATCATATCACGCCGTGATGTTTGTTCTAGACTCCGTAAGCTATACATGTGTTTCTAATTATACCATATTAGCAGTAAGTAGTTCTCTACATGTTTTACATAATTCATGTGTACATTATGATTTCTCTTTCCCTTTCGAATGATGAGGCGCTCGATTCTAGTCACCAGCTGAGATTGAAGAGGCGTTCGAAGTTAATCGGCGACGAGATACCCATTCCCCATTGATGCTATAGTCACCGGCGAATACAGAAAAGGTCGCTAACAAACAGGCGGTCTATGGAAGATGCGAAAAATGCTCCCTCCCCTTTCGACTGATAAGGTTTCCCCTCTGGATGGTCGATACGGAAAAGACGATCTTTGCCGGATGCAAAATGTAACTCTCTCTACGACATTCTTCTTTTCTAAGGCACTCCAGGGTAGACTATATGCATTTCCAAAAGTGGTTTTATTAAAGTGTATCTACATGAAACATGGTAGTGTCGCTTATTTTATGTATAAGTCGAACTAAACCTAAAATTGTATTGTATTTTACTACTTTTATTACATTATTAACTGTTAATAATCCAGTATATTTGAGTTAAAGAAAGAAGAATAACCTTTTACAGCTGTTACTTAAAGGATCGCGCTACTCTTGCAAATGTTGTTATTGAAAACGTTTAATTCAGGTGCCCTCTAGCCTTTTATTAATTTCAAGATTGTACCTGGGGGACTTAATAAAGTCACGTAACCATATGATCTTTTCCAAAGAATGATATTGCTAGATGGAACGATATTTCTGAAATTTGAGTAAGCAGCAAGATATTTTGCTATCACTTTTTTTACAAAAGCGTTCGTCGTATTATGAACTTTTGAATCTGATTACAAAGAAAAAATTGTCTCTGTTGCACATGTAGGGGACTTAAATTTTATGAATAAAATTATCATTGATAACTGTATATGGGGGTATCTTTTTTGATTTAGTGCCTGGAAGCGAAATTAATAGAACGAATTCTCATCAATATCCTGTTACCTGGTGTACCTACTCGCACCTTGTGTATTTCATCAATTTTACATCTTCCCAGCTACACCTAGAATAGTACTACCTCTCGTATGAAAAATAAGAACAGTATTTCAAGAATGATGCAAACATTCTTATTCAAGTACCTGCATAAGTACATTTCATTAAGCGATTGGAATAAAAAATTATAGAAATATGTTTTTTCGAAGGTTCTCGGTTTTTTTGGTTCGTAATTTGAAGATTATCTTTTTGTAAAAGCGATGAGCCTTGAAAATCTGTAAAATAGTTAATTTAACGCTAGCAATAATTACTTTTACCATTCACAAAACGTTTTGGACTCCTCTATCAATTAATTTCGATTTTCTGGCAAGAAAATACGTTAACCATTAAAACAGCGCAGTTACTTAGCAACAATGTAACAATCTGCAGAATTTTAACAATCTCAGTCTATTATATGAATGGAAAGATTGTTTTGAATTAGATTTCTGATGGTGAAGTTTGCAGGTTTATGCAGGTTCATTATAAAGGTAGCGTAAAGGTAGGTAACCTTGGTTTTTGCCTTGAGCTAGTGCACTTCTATTTTGCATTAATTTTCAAATTGTCAAGTCAAAAGGTAATGTACTTAGTTTTAATTATAATTATTCGATTTATTGTAAGTTATTGTGCCTTCAGCTGCATGTAACTAACTCTTGAATTTTAGATATCTGTAAGTGAGTTGTGGTGGCGTGGTCCATCACTGGAATTCGCTATTGCCATAGGTACCACTAACTAGTAACTACTACTATTGATTATATTATCAATCAATAAACAATGCTACCTCGGTAACACGTTGAGGTGAACACAGGGCCGCGGTTAGCCTCGACGGGCCCCGGGAATATTTTTTGACCGGGCCCCTATAATTGAAATTTTTGTTGTCCATCACCCTTATCTTAAACTAGACATTTTCAATCTTGACTACTTAGATTTGAAAGGAGAACATTTGAATAATTTTCATAGACACAGTAATTTTAATAATTTATTATGAATTGTTAGAATTCAAATAACCAAATTACAATGTAACTCTGCGGATTTTCTTATTAGCAAAAGTGAATATCACCTGCTCAAAATTAATTTCTCTAGCAAGTTGAGCTTCAAGAGCTACTTAATGTATACCGAGATTGATCTAATGATCTTGACCCATAGTCGATCTCAAACGGTTTTTTACCTAGCGAGCCTTCTGTCACTGTGCCGTAATTAGGAAATTTTGCTCAATGGTATGGTTTTTTTAATCTTCTGCTGTGCATTTTTTTATATTCTACTCTCTCATATAGAGATATGCATATGCAGATTTCTGTTAAAAAATACAATTAAAAATCAGGTTTCAAAATTTGTTTTGGCCGGGCCCTCAGAATATGACCGGGCCCCGGGGCAAATGCCCGGCTGACCCCCCTTATCGGCGGCCCTGGGTGAACAATATTACTAATTTTAATTTGGGATGCGATTCATTATGGCTCGCATGCGCAATAGTCAACTTCCTTATTTGCGAAATTTTTTGTAGGTTTTTCTAATAAAATCAATAAAAATGGACTTATGACCTACTACAATGTCACGTTCTGAAGTTCCTTTTGAGCCATATGCCTTTTTTGCTTTGCCCATTACAGAGCAATGAAATTGAGACAATCTTCTTCGGTATTTAAACTTGTAATGCAGTTGTCGACGTAAAACTTTTCATCAACTTTTCAAACGAGTCTTTACAATATGATCGAGACTTTTTACATCGAGAAAATCAAATTTGCTTTTTATTTTCTAAAATGCTATCGAGTTCGGCAATTTGGCCATCACCTCACCTCACAATTAACATTTAGGTCTTTCCAAAACTGTATACGTGTCTCTGAGGCTATTGGTTTTAGAATTGAAATTATTGTATTTTTACGACTATCCCTCTGTCGTGCGTTTTTTCAGGGGGCTTTTGAACGCCATTTTTTATGGTTTTATTGTTAAGAGAATCAAGCGTTTTAAATTGATCATGGTCAAATCCCGTTTTATATTTGAAGGCAAAGTTGTTTCTTGAAAAACTGGCCAGTACCAGATCTTTGAAATAAAGGCGACCTTTTTTCAATTTAAATTTTGAACTGAGATCACTCCAATCATTGTTCATGCTAATAATCACGTAAGTTTTACCACTATTGGCAGAGGCAACACAAGACACAAAGTCATCACGAAAGATGGTAAAATCCGTGTAGATAAGCTCTAGAGAGCCACAGCAACTTTAGTAAGACCTGTACAAAAATTGTATCCAATAGAAGTTTGCTGATTTTAAAGGAGATGGTCTATCGAAGGACTATAGAACAAGAGGTGGGAGAAAAATGAAGAAACCTGAGAAGAATCTGTCACTCTTTTCTTCTGAGTTATCAGCACAAGCAATTAGAATAGGTGCCTCTGTAAGTTTTTAAAATATAATTTGTCATGTATCAAGTTTTATAAACGACACTTTAGACACGAGTGCCTAGGGAAGTTTATAAAACGCGTTACATACGTGCAGTATGTGAGATTTTAAAGATGTGAGTAAAAAAATAGCTATTTGTATAACAAGGGAGGAAAGTTAAAGATTCCCTCCCGAGTGTGCCCGACGCGAAGCGGAGGGCAGTAATCACACAAGGGAGGGATATGTACTTTCCTCCAGAATTATACATATGATTTTTTCTACTACCTCAACTTTAATTTAGCAAAGATAATTAATTTTTACGGTAAGATGACTGCTTGCCATCTAGTTACACTAAAAAATTTAGTATGTATCCATGGTGAAGTTATGTTGCCATGGTAGCGGTATAAACAGTAGCTTGTGTACTGGTCGTTTCTGTAATTTTTCATAAGGAAATATGGAAATAGAAAGTGATTTAGAGGAAAACATGCCCTCAGACATTTTAGAAGAAGCAAATCAGGCATCGCTTGATCTATAGCCTGCAAAATCTAGGGACAGGTACGAAAAAGAATATACTGCTTTCAAAAATTGGATGATGGGGAGAAAAGTCAAGAAAATTGCTGAAGAGGTAATCTTAGCATATTTTGCGCATCATTCTAAAACGCTTAAACCATCGACGATGCGGAGTAAATATTCAATGTTACGTACCACATTACATATAAACGACAACGTTGACATTAAGTATGCAAAAGTCATTGCTTTGCTTAAACGTCAAGGAAATGGGTATAAACCAAAGAAAGCTAAAATTTTCTGTAGGAATGACATAAACAAATTTCTTTCGGAGGCGCCCGATGACTATTACTTGCAAATGAAGGTAATGATGAGATTTGAATTTGATACATTATGAATGCTATATTTTGTTCGTAGGTTGCTTTAATTATTGGACTTAACGGAGCTTGCCGTTGCGATGAGCTAATTAAATTGACATTGCATGATATTCAGGATAATGGAGACATATTAGTGGTGAAAATACCCGATAGCAAAACAAAAATGCAAAGAAGATTTGTAATCACTAACGAAACCATTAGTGGAACAAGTGTACATGGAATTTATAGAAAATATGTTTCATTACGCTCTGTTAAAACTGAACATACAAGATTTTTTGTTAATTACGTAAAAGGGAAGTGCACCACCCAAGTCATAGGGAAAAATACAATTGCCAAAATACCATATAAAATTGCAAAGTACCTCGAGCTACCTGATGCAGAAGGTTACACTGGGCATAGTTTTCGGCGCACCTCCGCGTCTTTGTTGGTTGATGCTGGAGGAGATTTATTGAGTTTAAAGAGACACGGAGGATGGCGCTCCACCAACATAGCCGAGGGCTATTTAGAAGAATCAATCGTAAAAAAAGTAAAGTTTCTAACCAAATTATATGCGAAATGCCCGCCACAAAAGTTTCTGGAGAACATCAAATGAACTCTACAAACATTGAAAGTACAGGTTTCAATGTTAATCAATCTTCCTCACCTTTTGCTGGTAACATTACTTTCAACAATGTTACTAATTGCACCTTTTCCTTTCCATTTTAAAAAAGTAGTATATATCTGCGGTTAGTAGTATCTTCAATTACCTTCGCGCAACCTTTCGTCATTACTTCAAAGTATTGTAGTAATTGAAAAGTAGCCTGGAGTTTCGGGTATTTAGATTTAGATGCAATATATTCTACATAGAATAGAAAAGTAATGTACTTAGTAAATGAATTGTTCGAAAAATTTTATTATCTGTATTGTCATTTTCCACCTTGGAGACAACCCTGAGATTGACTTTTGGTATGGCTAGTTAAAAATAAAATTAATAGGAATATCTGATTATCCGAATTTATTTACTCAAAGCTCCCACACTCACTGTTTGCCTGCATGGTTTAGAATTGTTGTGTGAAGACATCATTTAGTACCTGGGGAGTTAATTACCTACGTGTAAGTAAACAGACTAGTTAAGACATTCGGATAGGTAATTACAAGTTAAGGTAAGATAAATAATTGTGCGGTATATAACCCACTCATTTGTAATTGGAATGTTAGTACGAGTGCAAATAATAGGGAACTTCATCTGATGCGCTGATGAATAAAGTAAGATGTGCCTCTCAATTTACTCATTTTAGCTTTTTTTTAAAAAGTCTGTCCGGATATCAATTAATGTCATAAGCACCAATAGCAGGTAGGTACTATCTATACATCATCATTCATCAGGTTAGGTAAGGGCATTATTAACGATCCTCGAGATCGTTTATAATTTTGTATTGCTGACTGTCTATCCATTTGTCCGTCTGTCCATTCGTCCGTCCGTCTGTCCATTCGTCCGTCCGACCATCTGTCTATCCGCCTGTCTGTCCGTGTGCACGATAACTTTGTGTAGAGACGTCCGATCGCTTTGAAATATACCTACACATGTTCTTCAGGATATAAGAAAGGTCGCTATTATTTTTCAGGTACGTAGACTAACGGGTCAAAAAGTTTCAACCCAAAAACTACCCAAAACTCCAAAAAAGGGTTTCTTTTATACCTACTCGTAATTCTCGTTACAAAGAACATATGAATGTCCCGTTTTCTGTGTTAGTAAATATTCTTTAAACCTAAGGTAACTATGCAGATTACAAAAATTGCACATGCGAAACCCAACTATTGTATTTGCGCAATCGCAATTTTTTATCTGTTAAAATATTTAAATGAAATTTTCTACGTTGGCACCTCTCAAATAAAAGTAAAACTGATGATGCGCAATCCGATTTTTTGGCATCTCCGTTAGTTATGAACCGAATTACATGAAAATGTATGCACCTCGAATAAAATTAAAACTAATGCTTATTCAAAAATGATGTCTGAGGATTCTGAGAGATTAGCTGCAGCAATTATTGCTAATTTCGTGTTGTCTTCAAGGTTTAATAAGAAACGTAAACATTCATTTGTTTTATTTTGATGTAGATTAATGATGAAATAAGAAAAGTTTTGTATATCTGCAGTCGATATTTACCGAGATATATGCTATATTCCATACATAATGGGCACCCTGCTACCTGTAGTATAGGATTGTAGAATTTCTGTACAGTAGATTTAAGTTAAGTTTCATAGTTGCACACTCATAATTCTTTTTCAAATAATTCAATTACCTACAATATGGCCATATGGAATTTATCGAATTAACATATGAATTATAACAGGAGCATTGAATAATTATTCAATGACAGGTCATTGATTAAGTACCTATATACTCAATGCTACGATAGAAGAAACGCGTAAGTCATACGTAAGTGGTCTACTTAAAGTATAGGATGAATGTCATCTTTTACTTATCCCGAATACCCTTTTTCACTCAACTTTTCCGTTAAAGATGATCCTAAAGTCTTTTCGGAAAAATAACCGAGCTAGATAATTTATTATCTAGTACATGATTTCGATGGTTCTGATGACAATTTGCGTAAAAAGATTGCTACAAAAATTAATTACCGAATTAATAGAGCTGATAAAGTTCTTCTTCAATCTACTGAGGAGAAAATCAATAGGTAAATCTCTTTTATCAGCTTATATATTGTTCTCTAATTCAAATACGAACGTACTAAATTTCTCCCCCACCACAATAGGTACGAGATTTTTTTTACATTTTCATTAATCTTTACTTGGAGGCTCCATCCTCCTTGATTAAGAGGATCTAATGCTTTGCTGGATCTGGCGCCCTAAGTAATTATATGATTTTGATTTTGTAGGTAGGTAGCAATTTACACGGCAGAATTTCGATCCTTTAACGAGCCTCCAACTACATCTGTAACTAAATCGAAGTTTACTGGTGATGTTGTACTCGCATTTTTTTGCTGCACCGCGTGTAATTCATTTTCAAAATAGGTGATCATTGAAACGGCGCTTTGTGACGCCACCGGTTAGGTACCAAAATACCGAATACTGATCTGATGCCAGATAAAGTATAAACGCTGAATAGGTAACGTTATGGCGTTTTAATTGTTATAAATTTACGCTGGGTCTTTGAATATAAAATTTATATTCAAAGGCTGGGTGTACTACTCGTTTTAATTGTGCTATTGAGTAAGTGATAATTAAGATAAAAACTGTAGGCAACAGTGTATCAAAAGTCCAAAAATTTTCAAGGGATATTTCGTAGCGACCGTGTGATAAGCCTTATCTCCCAAACTCCGTAAATACAAATCTATTTTTATTCCACCTTTCAGTTACAATACGGTCGGATCTAAATACAGATCTACGCGCGATCATGGCATCCACCGGCAAACATTTCGACTCTAACTGCATGACATTGACAAGATTTGTATTGGCAGAACAGAAAAAACATCCCGAAGCAACAGGAGATTTAACACAGCTTTTAACTGCGTTACAAACGGCAGTTAAAGTGGTCAGTTGTGCAGTTAGAAAAGCAGGAATAACGCAATTGTATGTATATTATTTATACTTAAGTAATGATGTGACAATATTATACTGAGTTCTACAAAGTCTCCTTGACCTGTATCATTATAGTCGTTTTGTGTCTGACCCACCACCACCAAGACCAAAATGTAACCTTATTGTTTGTAAATTTGTCAACATATAATTACCTACCTATGTATAGCATTCAGAAACTTAGTATTAGCGCTGCACAAATTACCAAAAAATATTTACAATTTCGTTATGGTTATTTCCCAATTACGAAACTTTATAAGCCTTGACCTTTAACAACACATATTTACAAAAAAATGTGTAATTCTCAGATTTGGAACAGTGGGCGAGCAAAATGTACAAGGAGAGGAAGTTAAAAAACTGGACGTGTTGGCCAATGACCTGTTTATTAATATGCTAAAGTCTTCATTTACAACATGTGCTCTTATCTCTGAGGAAAATGAGAATATCATTGAGGTAAGGCATAACACAGGGAGATTTTTTTGCTAAGTAAATTCCTAGGTTGAGACAGAAAAACAGGGCAAATACATAGTCACTTTTGATCCACTAGATGGATCTTCAAATATTGATTGCTTGGTGTCCATAGGATCTATATTTGCCATTTTTAAAAAAGAAGGAACGCATCAGCCCACACTAAAGGATGTTCTACAGCCGGGAAATAAGGTTGTGGCCGCTGGATACGCTTTGTATGGTAGTGCCACGATGATGGTGTTATCATTGGGAGGTGGTAGCGTTAACGGTTTCATGTTGGACCCGTCAATTGGAGAATTTATACTTAGTGATAAAGACATGCGTATTCCTAGTAGAGGTCAAATATACTCAATCAATGAAGGATACGCGTACGACTGGGACCCGTCTGTAAGGGAATATATCGAATCAAAGAAAAATCCCAGCAAAGGTAAACCATACGGCGCGAGATACGTCGGGTCTATGGTTGCGGATGTTCACCGAACTATTAAATATGGCGGTATTTTCATATATCCTGCTACAACTTCTTCTCCAAAGGGAAAGGTAAGATTTAATCAAATTGCTGCGAAATCACATACATTTCGTTGCAGTTACGCCTGCTTTATGAATGTATCCCTATGGCATATTTAATATCAAATGCCGGTGGATTAGCGTCAAATGGCAAAATTCCAATTTTAGACGTACAACCGGAAAATATTCATCAACGCAGCCCGATATTCCTAGGATCAAAACTTGACGTAGAAGATGTTCTTGATGTTATCAAGAAACATTCCAAATAATACATAAATGTTAATAAAGATACATGATAACTTTTATCATTGCACCATCATTGTCTATCGCCAAAGGTTATACAAAAGTCCGCAATATTTTACTTTCAAGATTTTAACAAAGTAAATTTAGTAATTCGAAAATTGAAGCAAAGAAATTATGTCCTGGTTTTGCGTCCGCATCATCAACCAATTCATAACCATAACTTTCTATCAATTTTATAGACACTTGGCGTATCTGTGAAGTTACAGTACTTAAGGTCAATAGGGTAAACCGATAAACTCAGTACGTATCTAGTGGGTGATGTAGAAAGACACTAAAACATTTATTATGTCATTGCAAATTATGAATGATAGGTAATTTTTTATTATAACGGGCGATCAATAATGAGTTGCTATCGAGTTGCCTTTGGAAGTTCAAATTCAGAACGATTTCCCATGTAAACAAAAATTTCAAAGGTAACTCGACTGCAAATCATTTTTGATCGCATAGTACCTACCTGTTAGAATGAACTTGGACTGTGCCTACTCATGTAGGTAATAATATTCAATACTTGCTCTACTGCCCTAATCACTGTATAAACTATCATATGCACTAGTCACATATATCTATTAAAAATTCCCTTAAACCTTTGAATATAAAATAGATATATTTACATGTAGGTACTCAATTACAATTTTAATAGTGCACAGTCACGTCAGTCACTTAAATGTACGCTTAGAAAATGACTCGGAAGTAAATTAGCGGATATCAGGGGCGGTTTTTTGGGGTGGGGGGGGGCGACAGGGGCGATCGCCCCCCCCCTCCCTAAACATACTGCTCAATTGTTTTTTTTATTTCATTAGGTTTACCTAACCACAAACCACCTGACGGAAAAGTAAAATTGAATAAAATAGGTACATAAAATAATGCCGGCGGGGGCGGAATCGTGTATTGTCCAGACTGCGACTCACGACTGTACTTTTAGCACTATCATTATCGCCTCTCGTATTTTTTTTGTCTTTCGTCAGTATTCAGAAATTAATGCGGCAATAGATAGTTTACCAAAAAAACAGCTGAAATTGGGTCAAAGCTACTCAAAAAAAATTCCCGCGCACCTCTGCATCTGCAATTCTGTAGGTTTTTTATTTTCGCCCCCCCCCTCCCATCGAGTGGATGTATAAAACCGCCCCTCGCGGATATACAAGGCACAAGAGGTTGCGGCCAACCTGCATTTGTTTGGCCTCTTAGGACAGGTGTCTATATGCGGTGCGGTGGGGGTGTTCTTTTCCACCTCAACACGGGTACAGAAATGTATATACGTTCGCAAGAATAACATCATACGAAGAATATCATAGGATTTTTAGTAGGGCAATTTTTTGGCCCAGGTCGCATTCGGTAACTCGACTTTTAATCCGGCTCATATTCAATAGCACACTACCTACTCTGAAAAAGCTGCAAGCTGCTAGAGATAGGTATCAAAAGAAAATTTTAAATTTCTCCATTACGGCTTGAGCACAACATTTGCGTTATTCGGCAAAAAATGTCACAAAATGAGTACAAAATTATGGCATTCTAAGATTTTGAATATGACGAAGAGTACCTCTAGCGTGAAGTTGGATTCCCCGTTACGACTTGAGCATAAAATTTGCATTATAAGGCAAAAATTGCACAAAATGACCACAAGATTATAACGTGTACTCGTCAATTAATATATTTTGAACTCAGTTAACGAACAGTAAAGAAAAAGTTATTACCTACCTAAGTACAGTGGAAATTGAAGTTTATTAACAGGGCACCATACACTGTATCTATACAATTGAGTGTTCTTGACTCGCACATTTTTAATATACAAAATCATTTTATTCACTCTCTCCACCCGAGCGCTTTCTTCACAAGTTAAACAAATATCCAATCCTTAGCAATTCACATAAAGCAATTAACCCCGCGTGCTAGCAATGTAACATCTTTGCTTTAGTCGCAATCCCGAATTCTGTAGTCATAACCCAAGTAAACAAATATAAATTGTGCACAATTCTTGTGCAGATAAAGTGCATTCTTTAAACCCAAATAGCTTAGTGTAGCTAGTTGGGTTATAAGGTAGAGCATGCTATATTTATCGATGTTTAGTTTCTTGGTAGATGATTAATTTAAAAGCCGCCAGGCATACATTAAAAATCTACGCTATATATTGCAATAAGAATTAAGCCCTTAGAGAAATTCCTCTACCAACATATTTTTGGGCAAAAAATATCAAAATCGTTATTTATGTACCGATTTTCTTGAGAAGAAGCGGCTTTGGGTTTTCGTTATATGAAACCTTTTATGGGTTGGAACCCATCTGGACATGTGCAACTATAAAAAATTAATCACTTTATTATTATTAACCACACCAAAAACTACTTCCAGAATAGACAGGGGCAAGATACCTAAATCTACGTATGAAAAATGCGCTAGTGCCAACCGCACGTGCTGTGACTTTTTAACTTATTTTACATAAGAGTACCTACTTAGTAATATCATAGACCAAATGTAGTATAAGTCTAGGCAAATACTAATATGCGAAATTTGCTTATTTTACCGTTTATGGTTTTGATATGCTGGGGAAGAGATGTTATAATGTGAAATATGCAATTTAAACATTCACAAAATATGCAAACGAACGTTTTTGAGGAAAAAAAAGTATGTAAAATTCCACGGCATCTATTTTATTGGCATCCATAAGATACATAAAGTAAAAAGTTAGAACTATCTTGAACCCATATTGTAACACACAGGCAGAGTAAGGTGTGGATTATCCTGCTGCCAAATTTAGTTCTATTCAAGGGGAAGGGCACAAAATGTCACAAATTTTCAATGCTGAAATTTGAAGAGATGTGGTCGACTCTGCAACACAGGTAAGAAACATTTGCTCGATTCTGTTTTCATATAACATTTCAAAAATTAATCTCTAAAAAGATGCTGCTGGCGAAATGAAAAATAAAAGGATGGGGACAGTAATAACAAATTATAGATCTGTGATACATATATTAATTAATTACAATTTTTTTCAATCACGCCACTGCAGAACTTTAAGCCCTGGCAGATGTGCTTGGGCCATATTGCTGGCATATATGTGCAAATTCTTCTTGCTTTTGTTTTAAGTCCTTTAGGAATGGGTGGTCTGCATTTTTATCTTTTAATTGGGATAGATATCGATTAACTACCTGTAAGAGTGAAAAATATTTTTAAAAGTAGTCATTTCGCCCACCCCAAACAGGATTACCTCAGGTCCTTTCCCGGTATGTTGCGAGAGAACAATGAAATTGATAAGTGTATCTGGGAAATTGGAATCCTTATCCAAGGCTTCTTGAAGAGCAGCTTCCGCTTCCTCATATTTACCTTGACCAATAAAAGTAACTGCTTGATTATTTAATAAAATTGGAGATGGACCATATTTGTCCACTAACTCTTGATAGATATAATATGCATCTTGCAGTTTGTCGCCACCCTGCAAAGTGTACAGCAGTAGTTAAAACACAGAAATGAACAACTGATTGTGAAAGCTAACAAAAGAGGCTAATCAGTTGTTAATCATCAAAGAGAGTGTTATTACCATTGCAACATTCACCCAAGCTTGGGCAAGTTGAGTTAATGTAGCATCGTCGTCCTTGTCCTGCATTTCTTTCAATTTCTTTTTCGCCAAATCAATACGATGCATCTTAATTAATATATCTAAAGTAATTGCTAATGCTTCCAATGTTTCCGATGTGTGAAGAACCTTATAGGCAGCTTCATAATTCAATTCGTGCATATAAATTGTAGCCGCAACCAGCACAAGAATATCGTTGTCTTGTACCGAACTTTCAAGTTTTTGCTCCATTTGTTGCACCACGTCTTCACGTTTTTGCTTATTGGACAAATACTCTGCAAGTAACTTCAGTGGTTGCACTCTTGCTGGCGAAGCTCCGTGTATTTCATCAAGAACCACTAGAAATTTATTTTGGGCCATGTAAGCTCTGTAGGTGAATATATCTCTATCAATAGCAACTTCTGGTGTTGAAGTCTGGAAGTTTTCAATTTTAAAAAAGGGTAAATTACTGAACATCAGAGTAATTTACCTTCTTCAATTTCTGTGCTTCATTAATACATTGTTGATAATTTCCTATGTAGAAGTGATTCTTAACATCAAAAAGTTCGTCAATATCTTGTTGTTGTCGTGACATTTTTAATAATTTTATGAAATTTATTCAATTTAATTTAAAATAAAAATAAACACGTATGCACCACATTCAATCATAGACCTCTGCGCGGCGCATGCTCAAGCTCAACTCACAAATTGAACGCACAAATCAACTCTGGCCGCATTCCACAATCCATTATTACATACAGGATGGGTTATTTTTTAGAAATTGCAAGAGATGAAGTTTTAAGCCCGCTTGACATGGAGCAATAAAAATTGCAATTGCATGCAAGTTGCAAGAAAAATTGCGAAAGGCATGCGCAGTTCAAAGCCAGCTGATCAATTGCTGCAAGAGACTTGCATGCAATTTTTATAGGACCGGTGCTATTTTTCTTGCATGAATCGTGCAATTCTAGGGATAAATCTAGTTGTTTTTGTATCACCAACGCACTCATTTATTTGTTTTTATTAATCTTATTTATTCTTGTAATTTTCATGTTTCTTCAAGCAATCAAAATTTAATTTTTATTGGAGGTTAGCAACTTTGTTGACAAGTCCATATTTTTCTTCTGTTGGCAGACATGTGGCAATTGAAATAAAATTGCACCATGTCAAATACCATGCAATGCTTATTGCATGCAAGGATTTGACCTTGCAATTTCTTTCTGCAAGTTCTTGCACGTTGTATTGCTCCATGTCAAGCGGCCTTTAGAAAACAATTTCGTTTCATTAACTTCCTGTATACAAACTATGTCGTGTTCGGAGATATCACGCGAAACCGTAACATCCCAGGGGGGTTGTGCGAAATGACTATATCTAGAGGTTCTGGATCAATCATCCTCTTGATCTAGATATTTTCAATCTGTTTCAGGCGAGTCAGGTTTTTCACTGATGAATGTTTCTACTCAGAATCTTTCAATATCGTGTAGCAGAGCCCAGTTGACTCCACTTTATCAAGAGTATCCAGTTTACTCCTTCCACGATCTACGCTGAAGGATCATACAGGTCTCGCATTTTCAGTGACTTGCGTTTCTTGCTTGCATTTCATATCCTGTGAAAAATCTAGGGAAACTTTCTAACACGGTGTTTAATTTTTTGCACCCGCGGCGGTTGATCAGCCAATTGAAGCTTGTGAAGGGAAATATGCCAACTTAAATAGTAACGACTCAAGTAGATCAGAGACTTTCTCCCCTACATTTTGTTACGCGTATTTTAAGGCTGTGTAGCCATGGTCCACATACACTCAAAAATCCTGTGTAGGATATTCATCCCGACGGCATACTGGAATTGAATTGTAGAGATACCTACCATCTGAAAAAGAAGAAAAATAAAACTTTATGACACAATGTAGTTCTTTAGCACACTTTTGGCCACAAACACGGTTCATTACATTTTCGAACAAGGTTCCTTTTATGGCGTCATGATTTAAAATAGGGTCGCCAACATAAAGTTTTTCGATAATTTTGGAGTGGCATTTGCTTTGTAAATGTTAGGTTATGAAATTTCCCAATTTTTTATTTGTATAATTATGATGGATTCCATCAAAGAGCTTGGGATTTGGGCGAACGAAATTATGTTTGAAACTAATAAGAATAACAGTGATATTTTATATGCGCTAAATACATAGGATTTGTCATCCAGATCAGCTTTTTTGCTTTTTTTATACATATTTTCAGTCATTTTAACAAAAAGTAGAATAAATATTCTGTATATGAACGTTGCTCTCAACCATCATCTATCGGTTCACGTAACCGCACCTTCATGATTTACAACAGTGACGCTAACTACGCTACAAGAACACGAAAATAAAAAAAAAATAGCTACCGGAGTAGCTATTCCCCCCAAAAGCAGTTCCCGCTTAAATTTGAAATAGAGAAGTGGCACGTGATTATACATCTAAGTGCCGCTGGGTAGCGAAACATGCCTAAAGCCACGTATTCATATAGCGAACGAGTTTGGCCGCATAGTTCCGTTCGGCTAATGTATACGTACAACCCACTTTACACGTACAACCATTGAATTTAGTTATAAATTCAATGGTACAACCATACACCAGCGAACGAATGCGTTTGCATCAAGGACGTCCTTGGTTTGCATTGATGAATTTGTTAGGTATATACCTATGTTCTAATGTGTACAGTATTGACAATGGCTATACCGCTATACCCTAATAGTAATTTTTTATGCATACTATAGCTCTTAATTTGTTTAACTTTGAAACCAAGGAATTGGATAACTAAAAACTTTTATTAAAATGTCTTCGACCTCTTTCGAATCTGTACTGTAATACGAGTATTTTCTCTTCCAGAACCTCCACTATTTCAGCTTGTTCAAGATGGGCTTGTAACTGAATAAATTCTTTCAGTAAGATATATCTTTACAGCCGTTTTCAAGGAATCACGAGTCATGGTATCCGTGGTTCGCAAGATCGTTCCGGAAAAAAGACGTTGGACTACCTTGCAGTAAATAAGTAAACTTGAGAATCCATAAAAAATGAAGAATAAGAAAACTTATAGGTACATGTAGGGGATCACTTTGTAAGGACCCAAGAAAATACAAATTACTTAAATCTTTCAATACTGAGTTCCATCTCAAAATTAAAAAAACGCCAACGCGAAATTTGAAAACTATGTTAGTTGATTCCAAAGTTTGACGTAAGTACTAATGCAGGGCTTTTTCGTACATCGCGTTTTTTTTCGAAAATAAGAACAAAGTTTTTCTTCTTCTTGCACAAACGGAGGCATACTGTATAGATACAATGCATATGCTACAATATATTGCAAATATATTCCACAAGGTAGTTCAAAAACCTCTGAGTTGTTTTGGAAAGACAAGCGCAAAAACAATAGGATACAAAAATGTGGCATTGTTTAAGTAGGTATTTCAAATGGATTTTTATACAATTATTCCGTGCTCCGCTAATATACTTCAAGAAGCACTTTGATTTGCTACGTGCACTATAATAGATAATTTTAAAAACCGCAGTCCTTCAGTTCTAACAAGAACGTATTATTTTTCCCTTTTTTTTTTAAATTTTGCTACCATAATAATTGTCCCCGTACTGTATTTAAGATTAACCTTGACAAAAACTGGTTTGTTTTACAGTTTATACCGATTAAATTTTCATTAAACAGTAACAATCCCGACGCGCTAGATAAAAAACGACTTCTTAAAAAATGATGCGATGAGTCAAATCGTACGTGAGACATCTCTTTGATTATTATTTATTATTATCTATTAACTTTGCGAGCGTGAACTATGTCGACCATATCAGTATTTATCAGCTCATCGGAAGCTAACAACGTAAACACCGTAACTACCTAGATAGGGATAATACTCGTTATCTTTTTAATTAGTTACCTACTGATAAGACTCTGAGCAGCTATCTTTTGTGATATGAACTACGATATTCTGGGAAAATGTACTATATATGTGTGTTGCTGAATACTTTTTTTGGGATTTTAATAGCCGATTCTGCAAGTAATGGTAAGCCTTATTTTTTCTTAAACTCAGTTTTGTAGGTACATGACTTTTTTATTAAAGGAAATATCGACATTTCGAATCAAAAGGTAACAAAGGAAAGTGTTCTCTTACCATTTCCGACCGATAGTTCAAAATATGTGATTTTGAACGTGACTGCGAAACCGGGAAAAATCGCGGCCGTAGAAGTAGATGACCTCCTTCATGGAGGTTTATATGCTAATATTTCCCATCATACAGAAATGCAGAAACCAGCCTTGGTAATCAATGTGATTGAAGAAAAAAATAGTGAAAAATTAAGTGATATTAAATGGGACACTGAATTAATAGAGGATGGTACCAATACAGAAGACAAACGTGTCAGATACGTCGTACATACTTCCAGTAAAACCCATAATCTAGTCAGTCACCAATTACCTTTAGCATTAACAATATCGGCAGTTGTCATAGTAATTATTACCGGAAGTGTTGCTTATTTCACTTGGAGGAAATTTGAGTGAGTAATATTATTATATATTCACTCTGTGAGAGTGATTCAAAGAATCATACTTTTGAATGTAATTGTTCTAAGAAATTTATTCAAATTGTATAGAAAATTTCTTAGTAATTTTTTTTTAGATATCGATGTCGACGAAGAGAATTACTTATCAATCGAATGGATCCAGATGATATGAGACATTTTTCGGTAATTATAGTATTTCATTTTCTTGCCTTCTGTAATGTTTTTTCTTGTAGATATAATTTGAAAATTTGTGGTAAAAATCGCTGACGCACGCAGATATTTCGAAGATTGGAGACGGGCACCTTATGATTGATGTACAAGAATATAAATTATCTAATAAAGCGTTAATTTATTCCCGGAATTTTATAATTGTCTGCACGTTCGAAACTAACACACACCTCAAATATTCTTTATGAATGAGAATTACCCGTGACATAGATCACGGTCGCAGTGTAAGGTGATTTGCCTATATGCTCGTATTGTGGTAAGGAAAGTGCCCAAATTCGCTACGTACTGCCCCTTACGTAGTGTTATATTATGGTATTGTCATGCACTGTAATCGGAATACCATAACCATCAAAAGATTCTCGCTCAACACAGTGAATATACAGAGCAGTCGTTTATTGAAAGACTTCATCTCAATTTAGTAACCTGAACCGCAATAATGACCCTCACAAAAGCAAAAAGATTTCTAAAAGTCAAAAGTGGCACGTGATAAAACATCTAAAGCAGGGCCCCGTTACGTTAGTTGTAAACAACGCTATGACCTAAAGTACACTAGGGAAGGAACGTAAAATAAAACACTGAAATTGTGAAAAGTTTGTCTAATAATGATCGTTATTATTAAGATTGTGAAAGCCCGGAAATTTAGTTGATTGTACATAAATGTAAGCAAAGCCAAAACGTGCCGTAGGTACTCTCGAAAAAATAACTGCCAAGGATAAAAAGAGTGCGACAGAGAAAAACCTCGCAGTTTGATTAATACAGTCCAAAAGTTAGTTAACAAAATAATTTGTAGAATTATCAAGTTTAAGCAGTGGTTAACAAAGAATACAAAGATAGTAAATGCATATGCACAAAGTTGGTTACGCCCAAGGTTAAAAACAAGTTCTGGGAGCACTGTGTTAAGTAAGCGGGTACCTAAATACTGAGAAAGGTTGAAGGGTACAGGATGTGACTCATCTTGGAGCAATGAAGTCCTTTTGTTAGGAGTAAGATGGAAAGTTACATGGCCTTGTAGGCAAATTCAACTAACGGCAAGATATGTGGAAATTAGCGAATCGCAACTCATTTATCGCACATAGATTCTAAACCGAAAAGTTTATGATTAGCGTAATTTTGCCCCCAAGATAGATAACTCGCCCATCGTTCGAGGTTTCGAGCCTACAGTTGAAAGTCGAACACAATCACCGAATTATAGGTGTCGTAACTCATTTGATTAGTTTTTTCCACCCCCGTGAAAATTGGATTTGGCCCATTTTCAATAGGCTTACTTGAGGCATACTGCATAGGTATAGGTCAACTGTGCAAAGTTTGAATCAAATCCGTCCAAGCGTTCGACAGTTATCGTGTTCACGGAGGGAGGGACAGACGGACACCATCGACTCCCCTATAAAGCTTGCATCCCTTTTTTTTTTTACCGCAACAGACAGCATTTACTGAAATTTTTTATATTTTAAGTATACGCTAATTTTTTTTTTTTCTAACAATTTTATTTGTAATATTTTAATATTGTAACCTTTTCTTAAATATAAAATGAGGTACACATTAAAATAAAAGCAAAAGTTTTTGCTCTGCCGTTTAATAAAAAAATTTCAATATGAACTTTAAAAATTTATATTAAGAAAAGAAAGACAATTTCGGTTAAAATGTAATACAAAACACGTCGAGTAAAGTGATATTACTTGACTCACAAATTAAAGTACTCGGCCCAAAAGGGCTCTTGTTCTAATTACAGTACGTTATTTAATTAAAAAAGTTGTCAGGTGTGGGGTTCGAACCCACGCTCCCTCTCGGGAACCAGAGCTTAAATCTGGCGCCTTAGACCGCTCGGCCAACCTGACATGTTTAATTGTGCTTCTACTAAAACAATGTACTTGGCAAACTTTAATAATAATTTAAAACTTTATCAAAATTTAAGCATTTCTACAATATTAATATGGAATCTTGTAACTTATAAGCGTAAGTGGAGAGCATGACCTATTTTACGTTTATCATTTTATCATTATAGTATTTGCGCTCATCTTTATTCAAGAATATCCACTTGCATAGCCTACTTATTTGTATTCATCTTGCATAATCCATTACAAAAGTGTAAAAATAATCTATTAGCTATTTAATAATCCATACAAATTTTATTTCATTGCTAACAAATCACCACTACTAACACATTAAAATTTTATTAACATTCGTTTATTGCATTACTTAGGAAAATGCATAATGTTAAGCTTTCTTCACATTTACTACTACAGGACCAACGTTATCTCCAGTTTCCTTATTATGTTTACCATGAGCACCATCACAATACGGCCACTAAAAATGTAATTGTGTAAAAAGTGTACAGGATGCTATTGCTATACGTACATTCTTGCTTCTCCAACATCGACAAAAGCATACTTTTTCCGTAATATCTTCTACATCGAAAGAATCTACTACTTTGGGGTTATCTTTACGAACACATGGATTGACACGACCGTCGGGTTTGGGTCGACCGTGTGGGCAAAATGCTAAATATCCTACGTAGGTGAGGCCTGCTACAGCGGCTGTTGGCGGTATCAAAGATAGCCAATCTTTAACTAATGAAAGGAACAAAATTTAATTAGGCCATATTCATAACCTACTTGATAAAAACTTATTATTTAACATACTTCCTAATTTAAACCATCCCGTGAAAGTATCAGGTATCGGTAATCCGGCAAGATAATTTGGCAATGTAACTTTGACTAAATGACCTACCACCATTGCTTAAAAATTTTAATTTACTCGGCAATCTGAACGTGAAGGATTAGTAAGCAAAACTGGTTTGTGGACTTGTGGTTTCCAAACACTTTTATCTATGGTTTTTCCCATCATTGCAAATTTAGGAAGTGGTTCTATGCCCTACCACTGTAATCGAATAGTATCACTTTCAAATTTGTACAAGTGGTTAAGTTTACGAGAAAAAAACAAAAGGTTACATGATCTCATTAAAAAAAATAACAAATAAAAATATTCCATATTGTAGTGAACATTCATACATATTCTTTGGTGGCCCATGAACTTTAGTGTATGGTGTGTTGCCTACTTAAAACTCACTGACACATTTTCGAATGAACGAAGCACTGCTGAAACTATATAATAGAAACTGTTTTTTTCAAATGAATAAACAAGAACAAAGTTGTCTTTTTTATAACCTTGTGTTCAGAGGTAATCGTGTGCACAAACCAAACGTGCTTTTACTTTCAAAAGGAGGTAAATATGTATTATCCGTGAAAGGCCTGGACAATGGACATACAAAATAACATAAAAATATAGGTGATAGGTACATATTTTAAGCAGCTTTATTGCATGGTTAGTCCACACTGTCCATAAGTATCTCTCTTTCTCAGTTAAAATAGTTTAACGCTTGATTGCATTGGATTACTGTACTTTTTCGTCCGTACTTTCATAAACACCGTACAATGAACTTAGGGTCTATGAGGTCGCGCCGCTGGGGTGTAAAATAAAGAAAAATGAGAGTTTGATTCCTCTTTGTCTATTGAATGTATATTTTATTTATTTATTTTAGGTAAGTTCGTCCATGTACTAAGAATAGACGTACATACATCACACACACACTAGTTCAATTATTTTTAATATTAGAAACGTGTTTTGGTTTAGTAAATTTATTTGTCGCAGTCTGTTGAACCAAAATCATGCACATGCATCATTTATTAGTGGGCATAAAATATGTATGGAATGCACTATTTTCCAGCAGAGGTGAATATTCCCCGGCGGCAAAAATTCTGGAAGAAAATTTACTTGAAAGATCCTGAAATTAGGAGCCTATGTGAGTTGCCCTGAATATGAATTTTTAAAGTCGCTCGACGCTCGAGAAGCACGTCATGTTTTGGATGGGAGTAAAATCATCTCGTACTCTATATTCTGTGGCCGTCACGCTTGCCCGGCTCACTGGTTTAAAGCGCATTTGAAAAGAAATATGCCATTAATAAAATCGTTATGTGTTTTTTAATTGACTAACATCACTTACTTCTAAGTACCTACATAAAAGGAATGTAAGATTATTACACGTGACTACTTGTTTTTAATTACACATAGGTATTAAATGAATAAACAATGGTAGGTATTAGTTTGTAGTATATATTCTGGGTGATTCATTAGGTGAGGACAATTTGAATTTCCCGCAAATCAAAAAAAATTATGAAGTTGGTACTAACTGATGATCATTTATTTAATTGCAGTGGTGTATCATCATGCTTTCAGTAAATCGTTTACTTATTTATAATCTACAAATACTGCTTCTGTTTTACCGCAAATTATAAACTAACACTAGACACAGCCACGTTTCTTACATATTTTAGTGCATAAACTCTAAAAATTGTTCAAAATGGAAAGAGTAATAAACCGCAAGTGGCACACAACAATTAACGGCGACACTGGTTTTTTAAATGAGTCATGACAGAAAAAAATTACTAATGAAATTCAAACCGTCAATCTAATAATGCAAAAAATACTAAAATCTTACGCGCGAAATTCAAGCGATCATCATTTCTAATGAATCACCCATAAAGTTACACGAAACGTACGCCTCCGATTGGGTTGGAATTGCATCCGTTGGGAGCGTCCTTTGTTTAAAATCAATCTTACCGCACCGTATTTAGACCTTTTGCAATTGGTGGTTTACCGAAACGTAAAACTTTTGGCCTTCTGGAACATTCAGATCATTTGATTTTTGCTTTTGCATTGGTACGCGTTCACTGAAACCAAAGAGTAATGGATACTCTTTGCTGAAACGGGGCGGACGCGCCGGAGATAATATTTTTAAATGATATTATATGACGATGTGTTTACTTGGACCATTGTTAAGTATTCAATGCTTAGACGTAGCGTACACTTACATTAAGTACAATGGAAATACGTTGCGTTTGCTCCCCCTCAGTGCACGCGTACCTTTATAGAGATCGCTACCTAGTCCGATTTGTTTCCATTTGGGGCTATTGCTATGAACCTTTTGGTTTGTTTTGGCATTCACCAGCGGCACCTTACCGCTTGCCCTCAGGAGTTCCTGGGCCCGCCGTTGTTCGTTGGATTACCTGGAGCTTTACCAGCACCGACCGCATCTTGTCCAGAAGGAAGAGACACCGAAACTTCTAGTGGCACCCGAAAAGCCCTCCCGATCCGCCGTCACCGTCCACAGATTTTGACTTTGACCTTTTTACGTTTCTTAAATTTCATCATTGTAATTATACCAGCGAAAGTTCGTCGCAAATATTATGAAGGCGATCGTAGCGCGGTGGCAAACTCGTCGTTCCTCGATTTACAACGCTCGATGATGGGGGTTCGAACTTCAACGCGTTTTTTTCTTAATACATCGCGGAAAAAATAATGATCTGACCGAGCGTGAGCGTCGGCACTCACCAAGTGCAAAAATTGCGGAGGATTTACTTGGAACCACCTAGAAATGTATGAAATCTTTAAAATTGGGTACCTATATAATGGGTTATCCTAAGGGCGCGTTTCTTCTGGATCGAATTCCCCTGACCGTGAATTTTTCTTCGGAGTAAGATCCTAGTGAGCAAGTATTCCGAATTTTCTGCGAGGGACAGAAGAGGGGGATTTCGGAATCGAATTTATTTGGGAATACAAAAACTAGGTATCTGCTATTTTGAGAATACAAAAACTATCTGCTATTTACGCCGTCTCGAGAGCATGAACGCTTCTCAGCCATCTTGGTTTGAAGTGGCATCAAGAGTCATAGTTTAAATTTGTTGTTTTTTTTATATTATTTGTAATGCAGGTAGCAGTCTTTGCTTTCTTTATTATGATTTATTTGTGGTTTGTGTATTTACATTCATTATAATTTCCAATATTTGTTTTTGAAATTGACACGGAAAATCAAGTGGAAAATGCTTTTATTACTTTGAAACCGTTAGCAATTTTGGTGTAAATGTTTTGATCAATCGCAGAAGTGGGAACACTGTAACTAAAATAGTTACGACATCTAAGACTGTGGTTGATCCTCGAATCTCATCTTTATACTGGCATTTTCCGAACAACGGAACAAGGGACCAGTTCTTCATCCCAGGGGGTGTGATCCTGTTATCAACCTTCATTTTTGAATATATGTGTTCCACATCTCTCGTAGTTTAAAGTACGAATTTGCTGACGTAATTTTCCATGTTGTTTATAATAAAAATGTTTTAATACATTTATTATATGTAAAAATAGACAACTTTTTAAAAGATTCACTACAGGCTAAAGCTAGTAAACACATAAGGTACAAGACATCACGTAAAAATTGTGTTATCAAAAGCTAGCCCCTCACAGCTATACAAAGCATTCGCTATTTTGAAGCAGATTAGTGTGATGATCAGTACAGGTAAGTTAACGTAAGTCGAGCACCTCCAATGCCGCATTTCCATCAACCTTCACGTGCTCAGCATTCTAATTGGGAAGTATTATATTCAATAGATATGTAAATGCACTTGTCCATACTTACCATAAATAGAGGTGGTTCCGTGGGATGTGGATGAAACCCTGATTTTTTACAATTCGAAATGTATGATAAACCGTAATTTGGTGTCAAAATAAAAAAACCTGTTCTAAAGTTATGAACACTTTCAAAAATTGGTTATTAGTCATTAAGATACTTACTCTTCATATTTTGGAGCACAAACTATGGCAATTGCTTCTGGCATTAACAACTGATAGGGACAATGAGTGTGCAGATCTACACTTGACAAAAATGCTGTTTGAGTCGGATGAGTCTGAAAATGTCAATTTTTATAATTAAAAACTGTCATAAATGGTTAAATTGTATGTAGAATCTAAAAATAAAATTATATACAGTGTTCTATTTAAAATTGGCATACATATTTTAGATTCCTCCTATCGACAATAGTATACCTACAATTTACAAAATATTTCGATGTCTCTTTTTCGAGATACAGATAGTCATTGTGGGACACCCTGCATAGTTGCTCTAGAATCTAGATGAATGTATAGTTTATATTATCAAAAAGCATATTCAAAAATTTTTTTACAAGCAACGAGGTCATTCCCAAAGTTTGATACTATGTATTTTGCAATGCGATTTATGGGTGATGATCTCCCCCCCCCCCCTCGCAAGTGTACAATGAGCTGATAATGTGGCCCTTATTCACACAGTATTGGTAATCCTAATCACCAAAGAGGACAAAAACCAAAAAATAACCAAAACCTACATGTATCCAACCAATTGTGATTAAATTATGCTGATCTTGATATTCAAATATTTCTTCCTCATTCATGGTGATACAAGAGTCGGAGGTTCCATTTTGCTTTGGTAAAATTACATGAGTAATAATCAGATTGTTCCTTTCCTGAAAATAAATATTTAGTTCTGTAAATCTACACTTTTGAATTAAATTACGAGTTTTCCAGCAAGAATACCACAAGTTTCAATGTTATTCATTGTACTTTTATGGGAAAGGGTTAAGAAATGAGTCATCACTTTCGATGGAATAACTACAGTCCTTAAACCAGGTTTTGTTAACGTCGGAGTTGGAATGGTTACACTATTTGTTGCTGGTTTGGTGGCACGGTCTATTGAAGGTGTTGTAGAAATTGATTTTGAAGACCTAATAAAATAAGTAAGCCAGAAGTTAGTTAATACAAAGGATTGGGAATCACCCTTCGTCATCAGCTGGAGGAGCAGAGGGAACATTCGGATCTGGATAATATATACCACCCAAATCGTCTAAGGGCTGAATTGCGATATCAGAAGTTGGCCAAACATCTGTTCCAACTTCCACTGATCTTTTCTTCTGCCTTTCTTTTTCCAACTCCCTTCGTCGTTTGTCTTCAGCCTGATGTCGCTTCTATTACCTCAGTGTGAAAGTTTGTCTCAACAGTAAATAAAATACTTACAACATCAATTAAATACTGATTATATTCTTTGGTAAATTGTTCTAATAAACGAGTTTTTAGGTTTTCTGCTTTCGGTAAAATCTCTCTTAAGTAAAACTGGTTTTGTTGCTTTTCCGAGGGAGGAACGTTCGCATAATCGGGATGGTGTCTAATTTTTTCCAAGAACAATGTCATGAACTTTAAATAAAGAACTAAAGCATTTTCTAAGCTTCCTTCATCTAAGTAGACATTCGCCATTCTCACCATTTCCAGCCCAGAGCGATAGTACCTATAACATAAATATGATTTTGAAATAGTTAGCCACAACCCTTACCTCCTTGGCGGCACACTAGGATCAACTTCAACAGCGCTACTAAAATTAATAAGGGCTCGCATTCTATCTTTGGGTTCCAAAACACCCAACGATTCTACATGTCTTTTGGCTTGCATTGTAGTCGTCCAAAAGCGTTATAGTCGGTGTACTTATTTACGTTTATCCAATATAATTATTAATAACATATTTCAATATAATTCATAAATCAAACTCAAAGTTGCTGAAATACACTACCTAGAATTTAGAGGTTAGAACAATTAAAAAAAACTGTCAAATGTCGAAATGTCAAATTAAATAAATACGTGTATACAGGGCCAACAAGATTCGTTTGGTCGTTTTTCTTGTTACAGGGTGTCACATAATTGTGCGACGTTCGTTTGTCCAACCATTGTAATATGTACAGATACGGTCCAACTAAATAACTCCGAGTAGTCCGAGTCCGAGTAACCACAAAAATGCATTTGCATTTGCAAAATGTCACGAATTCGGCTTACTTGAAGCAAGTTAAAGGAGATTGAAGAATATCTACATACGTATTATCTATACCGGGTGGAGCACGATAAGTAGGAACATAGGAATTTAACCCTCCTGTACATTTTACAAAAAAAATTGTAGAGTTTAAAGTTGTTCAGAATTAAAAGGTGCATACCAAACTGTTTTTACATGTTTTGTTAAGCTTTTGGTATAGACGCAAATTTAAAAATAAATTTCAACAATGTTAGTAGCGATAGCCATGACTTTTGTTGTTTTATGAATTGCTACATTTAATAACAGAAATGTTGAAATTTATTTTTAAATTTGCGGGTATACTAAAAGCTTAATAAAACATGTAAAAACAGTTTTGCATGCACCTTTTAATTCCGAACAACTTTAAACAGTTTTAAACAGTTTTTTTTTGTAAAATGTACAGGAAGGCAGGATATTGCATAAAACTAATTTCCCATGTTAAATCCCTATGTTCGTACTTACCGTCCACGTGCACCACCCGGTATGTACTAAGAGCATTTACAAGTTTGTGTAAGGCTTTGTCTAACTTCGCATTCATAAGCTACAAAAATCCCGATAGCTAATGAAAATTGTGGAAATTTTGAGATACCTTACTTTACCTTAATGGTAGTATTTTGAAGATACTTCTATAGAGTTTTAGAAATTCCTAAAGAGACTGTTATGGAGATTCAGAGAGATTTTTAAACGATTCCTGAGAAGTTGTGTTTTAAGAGCCTTTCTAACAACATTGCCTAGCATGCTTAAGAAGACTTCTGATGCGGAATTCTAACAAAATTACTAAGCAAATAACTGAGGAAACTTTTAAGGAGATCTTTTGAGATCTGAAACTATTTTGAAAGGCAGAGAGATTTGTGACGAAATTTTTAATAGAGAGATTCGAAAGGCGATTGCCAAGTGTTAATGTGCCTATTCCACCATTCCCTCACTCTTTAAATGCACATAAAAGAGTGATAAAAGGGGATCTCCCCATTTCAAAAATTTATACACACTTACTTTTACATAACGTTTCGCCTATTGCGAGTACTGTAATTTTTGTGGTACTTCAAAGTTCGAACATATATATTTCCTTGTTTGATTTTGTTTATAAAATCTAAAAGCCACCGTTTACGTACCTGCGCATAAGAATACAGCCCTCCCCACTCTAAAAATTATGTTATTGAAAATTGACTTTTACACAACGATTTAAAAGGTCTATTGTAAGTTTTTTTTTATAGTAAATCGAATATTTTTGTTTTTTTCTTTGATTGTGTTTACATAATCGGCAAGCCCCCCCTCCTCCTTTAACTGCATATAAAAATATACGGTACAATTTTTTTAAATAAAGATTTACTTTTACATGGACGATTTATGTTTCTGAAAGAGTTAGTTGTAACCTTGTAAATGTAGCGTGGTATAAATACGTCTAAAGAGACTTATCTGTACAGAAATTTGTAGTAAAAAGTAAAAAATATTTCTGTCAGGATATTCGCATCTAAAGATATTCGCCCCTCCCTTTACTCACCTTTGTGTTAATCGAAGTAAATCATGTGTTTATTCGAACCCCTTAACGAGCCAGGGTAGATGTCTCATGTTTAATTATGATCAATTTGTGTTATTCGTATTTCGTACCCCAAGTTTGTTTTAGGTGTTTTCAAAATTTATTTAAGTAATTCTTCTTGGAATTTAAGATATTTGGTCGTGGCCATTATTTGCCATAAAATTTGGACATTGAAATAGGGAATTTTTCATTGTGCCGGGATTCAGAAGAGTGCTGGGAAAATTTTAATAAGAGCGCTAGGCTAAGCTAAGTGTTTTGTGTATGGTTCATTTCGGCCGGGCCATTGCACATAGCATTAACTATTTGCTCGCCCAATGTGGGGCATTGCATTTGTTTTTTAGGCAAAACTGCCCAGTTAAACAAAATGTAATTAACAGAGGAAGTAATAGTATAAAACATATCTTAAATAGAAAAGTGATTAATAAACTAAGAGTAAAGATAAGAATATGAACTGCGTAAGCTCAAATGTCAACAGGTTCAAGTTTACTTATCTGGTGCATTTGATAAGAATATATGTGTATTTCTAATTTGTCTCGGCCTAATTTGAGCGTGTAATTATTAGTAAATATCTATAACTGCAATTGTAAAATTACCACTCGCTTGCAGTTATTGAGCTGAAAATAAAATTTGACAAGCATGAGTGATCTTTCATAACTTTTAACTGGAAATATTACTACGATGTTATCGCTCATCCATCCAAATCATATAATTATAGAACTTTGAAATCATTAAATCATTACTGTAATTTCATTTGAGTGAGTAAGTAGTGTCAGTTTAGAACAGTAAAAGCATGTTTTGATTTGTGTGCCAATTGTCATTCAATTAAAAAGGTAGGTTTTATACACAGTACCGTGGTTTTATCTTATATTTATAGTAGGTATTACTGTATAAGTAAATTGAAAAAATAATGTAAATTAAAGAAAGACCATTATGAATAAATCAACCAAATGTATATGATGACTGTAATTGTATTGTTCTTGTTCAATCTAAAAAGTGACAAACGCATCAGCCTTGATGGTTTCTACATTTTAAACTGCATTTCTANTGAAACTATTTTGAAAGGCAGAGAGATTTGTGACGAAATTTTTAATAGAGAGATTCGAAAGGCGATTGCCAAAATTTATACACACTTACTTTTACATAACGTTTCGCCTATTGCGAGTACTGTAATTTTTGTGGTACTTCAAAGTTCGAACATATATATTTCCTTGTTTGATTTTGTTTATAAAATCTAAAAGCCACCGTTTACGTACCTGCGCATAAGAATACAGCCCTCCCCACTCTAAAAATTATGTTATTGAAAATTGACTTTTACACAACGATTTAAAAGGTCTATTGTAAGTTTTTTTTTATAGTAAATCGAATATTTTTGTTTTTTTCTTTGATTGTGTTTACATAATCGGCAAGCCCCCCCTCCTCCTTTAACTGCATATAAAAATATACGGTACAATTTTTTTAAATAAAGATTTACTTTTACATGGACGATTTATGTTTCTGAAAGAGTTAGTTGTAACCTTGTAAATGTAACGTGGTATATAATCGGCAAGCCCCCCCTCCTCCTTTAACTGCATATAAAAATATACGGTACAATTTTTTTAAATAAAGATTTACTTTTACATGGACGATTTATGTTTCTGAAAGAGTTAGTTGTAACCTTGTAAATGTAACGTGGTATATAATCGGCAAGCCCCCCCTCCTCCTTTAACTGCATATAAAAATATACGGTACAATTTTTTTAAATAAAGATTTACTTTTACATGGACGATTTATGTTTCTGAAAGAGTTAGTTGTAACCTTGTAAATGTAACGTGGTATATAATCGGCAAGCCCCCCCTCCTCCTTTAACTGCATATAAAAATATACGGTACAATTTTTTTAAATAAAGATTTACTTTTACATGGACGATTTATGTTTCTGAAAGAGTTAGTTGTAACCTTGTAAATGTAGCGTGGTATAAATACGTCTAAAGAGACTTATCTGTACAGAAATTTGTAGTAAAAAGTAAAAAATATTTCTGTCAGGATATTCGCATCTAAAGATATTCGCCCCTCCCTTTACTCACCTTTGTGTTAATCGAAGTAAATCATGTGTTTATTCGAACCCCTTAACGAGCCAGGGTAGATGTCTCATGTTTAATTATGATCAATTTGTGTTATTCGTATTTCGTACCCCAAGTTTGTTTTAGGTGTTTTCAAAATTTATTTAAGTAATTCTTCTTGGAATTTAAGATATTTGGTCGTGGCCATTATTTGCCATAAAATTTGGACATTGAAATAGGGAATTTTTCATTGTGCCGGGATTCAGAAGAGTGCTGGGAAAATTTTAATAAGAGCGCTAGGCTAAGCTAAGTGTTTTGTGTATGGTTCATTTCGGCCGGGCCATTGCACATAGCATTAACTATTTGCTCGCCCAATGTGGGGCATTGCATTTGTTTTTTAGGCAAAACTGCCCAGTTAAACAAAATGTAATTAACAGAGGAAGTAATAGTATAAAACATATCTTAAATAGAAAAGTGATTAATAAACTAAGAGTAAAGATAAGAATATGAACTGCGTAAGCTCAAATGTCAACAGGTTCAAGTTTACTTATCTGGTGCATTTGATAAGAATATATGTGTATTTCTAATTTGTCTCGGCCTAATTTGAGCGTGTAATTATTAGTAAATATCTATAACTGCAATTGTAAAATTACCACTCGCTTGCAGTTATTGAGCTGAAAATAAAATTTGACAAGCATGAGTGATCTTTCATAACTTTTAACTGGAAATATTACTACGATGTTATCGCTCATCCATCCAAATCATATAATTATAGAACTTTGAAATCATTAAATCATTACTGTAATTTCATTTGAGTGAGTAAGTAGTGTCAGTTTAGAACAGTAAAAGCATGTTTTGATTTGTGTGCCAATTGTCATTCAATTAAAAAGGTAGGTTTTATACACAGTACCGTGGTTTTATCTTATATTTATAGTAGGTATTACTGTATAAGTAAATTGAAAAAATAATGTAAATTAAAGAAAGACCATTATGAATAAATCAACCAAATGTATATGATGACTGTAATTGTATTGTTCTTGTTCAATCTAAAAAGTGACAAACGCATCAGCCTTGATGGTTTCTACATTTTAAACTGCATTTCTATACCGATCCTAGCAAAAGTAGTTTGAGAAAGAAACGAAAAGTAAAAAAAGATTATCTCATCTGCTTATTGTCACGTCCTTTGAAATTAAAATGGCATGTGCCCTGTGGTCGCATAATTCGCGATAGATCAGATCGGATCTATGTAGGTATTTATATGTAGTTTTTATCAAATTTTTGTTCAAAATTTTCTTTTTTCTCCAATGTAAGACCATTATGTTTAAATCCTGAATGCATGCTGATAGTTCGAGGGTGCCTATTTAAAACAATGCCATTTGTTATATCATTCATTTGTTTGTCTGAAGGCGATTTGTTTAAAATTTTATATTTGTACCTGTTAATAAAGAAGAAAATATACCTATACGAATAATGTAAGAAAATATATTATGCTCGCCAGGAGAGAATGCCTGTTACCTGATACCTGATTTGCAAAAATGGTGTTACGAATATTTAAAAGTTGAGAGCTTTGAAAAAGTGAGACATAGTCTCACTTTTTTAGACGCTTACGCATACCATAAGAAAATTCGAACTTTCCTTAATAAAGCAGTGAAAACTGTTTTGAAATATCTCTCACCGTTTTAGAATAATACATTTTTAAAATTACCCCTGCAAATTCAATTCTTGACACATAAACTTGAATATCAACGAAGCCCTTGGAGCAAAGGGTCAACTATGGGGTATCGTTCTACTCCAAATTTTAGTTCAATTCATCATGTGCCAAAATCTTTAAAGGACTTATCAGTTTAATTTCATTTTCAAAGGTTCTCCATATCTTTCTAACTGACGCGTATCGGCGGTTTATTCAAAACGAGATGAAAATTGGCGGGCTCTGTTGAGAAATAAGCCCGACCAATCAGCTGCTAGGACCACTCAGATGACATCACGACTTGGTAATATTGCAGTTTGGGCCTCGCAGATGGTTGCCTGCTCACTTCTACGTAATTGGTTGTAAGTTTGTGACGTATTTAGATTGAAGTGTTTCAAATTCGGACTAAAACGCAACTTTTCCATAATTTATTTTGGGTTTATTTGACTCGCAAATAAAAATTGAGGATACACGGGTTTTTTATGTTTAATGTACACTGTAGATCAGAAATGAAAAATGAAGTCTGGATGTCCCTATTTAGCCATGCATTGCGTGTTTTTACAACTCTCTCGTCTTTATATAATTTCATTAAAATGTGAGTAAGACTCTTTTTCGTACTCACATCTGACTACAGCGACAAGTAGCATATATGCCGCATAACCGCATATGTAGTTCCCAAATAATTAATAATGTAACTAAATAAAGAAAAACTTTTATTTAACAAGGAAGGTAATTGCCTTAACCCGATACCCAACTCAAGGCAAGTACTACACCGTGAACATATATGCATAGTTTATAAAACGAAATCTTATTGAAGTGACCTCGTAAAAGGTCTACCTGTTTCTGAAGTACTGCGCTCTATCGGTGATTATTGGGCGTTACTCTTACTCGGTTGTCGGTTGGAGGTTATGTTAGTATATTGTGTTGTGCGATGTCCTGTAAGTTTTAAAATCGATGGTGTTAGAATATGGCTGAAGAATTATTAGTAGTATTAAATCGAAAAGATAATTCCGGTCTCGGTTTTTCGTTATTAGGGAAACCTGGATTACCACCCATCATTTATAATATTATTGACGATTCACCAGCGGCGGAAAGTGGAGAGGTAAGTGAACTTCCCCAATATTGTTTTAGTAGCGATATTTGGCGTCCTATAAGGTGCTAAAACATCAACCTCTAAAGTTAATTTTACCGGTTTGTCATCACTTTCGATCCATTTCATTTTGATGTCATTTCTAAGGTTTTAATTGGCGTCAATCTATCAACCTGCAATGCGTAGATTGTTTAAACGTCTATTATTGCATCGAGTCCTATAAATTTTATTAGATTAGATTGGAAGTGCAATAAAAAATTCAATTACCATTTTCAATTATTGACAGTTTCCCTTGGGTTGTTAGAAAAACATGAAAACGTGTTTTCTACATGCATTTCGAAATACGTGTACTTATGGTTGTATGTTAATCCTTCCTAATTATTTCCCTGTAATTATGGTAATTTGTACGTGATTCATTATTCTGGCCTCTATGGAAAATGTATACTTAGATAGATAAACTACCTATTCGATTATTTTATTTACGCCAACAAACCCTAAATGACAATACCTTTTTCTCGAATACCCTAGAGAATTACTTAGAAATGATTTGTTCCTAAATTTTCTGTGACGATTCTGTTCTGCCCCAAATAAGATACTCTTCATAATTAAAAACGATAAAGATAAAATGTGCACTACTTTTTTCATGTTTTTATTTAAATGCAGAGCGGCGAAAAGAAAGAATTATTCGACGGTGTAATGCCTTTGCTGTTAATTTTGTCGCATAACGTTCACACCCCGACAAGCATTTGCATAAATATTCTAGAAACATTGCCCATTATTACCTTTTTAATTTAAATTTCGCTGATCTAGATGTGGATAACTGCGCGTAATTAATCATGAGTGTTACGTTTCAACCTCAATATAAAGGGCAGATCAGCTGGTTGAAGTGGAACCTGTTTTAGGCATTCAAATTTGTATTTTTCCATGCGAATTGTGAACAACGCGACGTAGGGGATTGTTTGTTCACGTTACTTTTAAATTAAATCGCATTTTGCTGCTCATAGTTTTTACTTTCCTACAACTAACTCTTAGGTACCTACTAGAAAGGGTTGATCCTTTTATGTTTTGTCGATACATAATCAAGGATAAGCGCAGTGCAGATCCTTTTTCTTGATAGTTGATAAATTACTAATAATTGCCTAGACAGTTCATGCTAGATACAAAATATCACCCAGTAGGTAACTCTTTATTGTATACCGTGGGAATTATACAGGGCGTTGAAGAACAAACTGTTCGATGCTACAAACTTCAGTGTAGGCTCGAGTGTAGGCTTATCCAACCTATTTCGAACTTGATCAAACGAAACATGCAAAAATTGCTTTGTATTCTGAGTGGAATCATTGAATAAAGAATTCAATGGTGGGATGTCAACTTGCAAAGAAATTGCGATGTGTGCGAATTCCTCGAGAAATTTCCTCTGGATTAGGGTTGATCTCGGGGATCTCAGAAAAAATTCTTATAGTTCTATTTGTCCTCTTTTTCCGAGTCTTTTTCAAATTTGTGTGGGGTGAAAAATGTTTTAGTCGAAATACACGGGATAAACTAATTCTAAGTAACTTTTTTGTTCTACAACGTTTTTTTTCTGAAAGTGAATATGAAGAAGTAGGTACCTACCTATGTTTTCGGCGAGGTTTTCGGAAAAAGTTGTTCTTAATTACAATGCCCCTTTTAAAAATGCTAAAAGAATCACGGGTTTATGGTATCTGTAGACCCAATATAAACGGCAAAATTGGGGGCAAAATTGAAAGTTTCAACGTGGAATGAAAAACAAATTCGTTTTTCGGAGAAAACCGAGGAGAACTCATATACTTAACCTTTTTTGAAGTGTTAAAAAAAGTGTGTTTGTAAGTCCCTAGCATGAAACCCTTGATGAAAATTAAGCGAGTTAATGACAAACATAATGTTGTTCCTAATTTTTTTCCGGTAAACAAGAAACTGTGAAATCCACCCCCTATCATCTACTAACAATTATTGTTACTTACCACTTTCACTTTATTTATGTATTGTAACCGGCACATAAGAAGGCGAAAGATCACGCATCCCTACTATTCAACATTCATATTTTATCTCGTATTTTATTAATTGCACATCGAATTGCACCTATTAGTGCAGACTTTAAATTAGTCACCTATGCATAGCCCGCTCTGGCCTGTGAGTATGTACCTGTAATCTGATCTAGATGCCCTAGATGTTTTGCAAAATATTGCCTCTTCCTCGGCCTTTTCTTTAAAATTCCTCAAAAACTGTTAATAATACGCAACAATTTTTGGAGTACAAAATTGTAGGCTTTACTTTTGTGAAAATTTTTCGATGTAGGAGCAAAATTGTACACAATTTCTCTCGCCATCTTTGTAAAATATTTCTGGTCACCGGTGGCGTATCCAACTTACTTCTTTTTTTATAAACGCATATTTTATCGAAGAATAAATTGTTAAGTATTTGAAGAGTACTTATTTTTAGCGTGTTTTTGAAAAAAGTAGCGGTGATATATTTACTTTGGCTGGAAGTATAACTCTCGAAGGAATCACAGTAGAATGTTGGCTTTGTGTCACAATTCTTTACATGCAGATTATATTTATCGACATTATGCAACACCATATACATTATTTCATTTTTACTGTATACATTTCATGTGGGTAAGAAAGAAGGGCGGTAGCTGGTAGAAAACGGATATGGCAGAAAAACCGAAATTTTCCGATTTCGTTCTTATTTTTTTCCTGATGTTACTTGAGCGGTTACAGAAAAATAGAAAATACTTTCTCATTGCCACTTTTTAAGCTGTACGAATACAACGATGTCCGGCACAAAAAAATAAAGGTTGGAAACCGTTGGTTTCAACAGGATGGTGCACCCACGCACAACGCTTTAATCGTTTGAGAATACCTATCGGACAGATTCCCTGTAAAAAAGTTTGTCGGATAGGTATTCTAGCACAACTTGGGCGTTGTGTGCGGGTGAAACCAACAGAATTTCCAACTTTTGTGTGTTGTATTCGTATTAAAAAATGCTAATTAATAGAGTATTTACTTTTTTTTCATAAAAAAACGTATTAAAAATCTCTCAACGCTGTCTTATAGATCTTATAAAGTGGCAATGGGAAAGTGTTTTCTATTTTTTTGTAACTGCTCAAATAACATCAGGAAAAAATAAAAACGAAGTCGGCCATTTTTGATTTTTCTCTCATTCAAATTTTCCGAGGACACACCTGAATCCCGGCACAATGACAAATTTCAATTTCGATTGCAAATTCTAAATTTTATGATAAATAACGGCTACGATCAAATTCCTTGAACTCCAACAAATTTTGAAAACATCTGAAATAAACTTTGGGTAAGAATCAACGAATTAATCATGATGATTAAGCATGAGACTCGGCATGAGACATAAATCTGCATCGTAAAAGGGTTGGAATAAACACACGACGTATATGAATTAGCGCAAACTTTATTCTAACACAAATCAAATAAATAACAACAGTTTTCTGTAAAAAAATCCTAAAATCCGGGCAAAAACCACAAATTGCGACAAAGTTATAGTAGGTTAGAATAGTTGGGTAATATTTGAGTGCTCCGTTTCTCAATTTTTGGATCACTCATAACGTGATTCTGGTTCCCCCTCGATACCCCCGAAACGGTTTTGCGCGATTTTCAATATCTCCTTTAGTTTGGAAAATATGGCCAACTGCAAGTTTTAAAATTGATACCCTGTATGTATATACTATGCGATCAAAAATGAGTTGCTGTCGAGTCACCTTTGGAATTTTTGTTTACATGTGAAATCGTATTTAATTTGAACTTCAAAAGGCGACTCGGCAGCAACTCATTTTTGATCGCCCGTTATGTCTTGTACCTGTTCAAAATCGTTTTGGTCGTTTTACTTTCTTCTTTAGTACATTTAAAATGGTGCATGTCCATGCAGTACCCGCAATATCACTCAGACACGAATGGCTGGAATGGACTGAAAAGAAAAGTATACTTTCATTGAAATGCCTTTTTTGAGTTGATAAATTCAAATACTTGAAACAATAAATTTAAAGAAAGAGTACTACGTACTCGAAATTGGCCAGATTCGCGAACCTCAAAACTCATGACTTAAAAACACTAACTTAGCAAGGTATTTTTTTAAGGCAAAAACAACCACATTGATGTCTCCCAAAACCAGCCTGAAATAATTGTTTTCTTACGACTCCAATAAAACAATAGCAATTAATATCCGGAAAACAACAATACGAATCAATGGTAGGGCAAAAACCAATATCTATTATGAAGTATCAAAAAATAGAAATATTTGTAGTGTGGTTCATTAAAAAGGAACATGGTGACGTACACACCACTTTTATGGAACACCCTGTATTTTTTTTATGTTATTTAATCGTCAAAAAGTGGTCGTCTATAGGCAAATAGAATATACACGGTGTCCAAGATAAGGATGTTTGTCATGGGGTCTCTGCAACCATAGAAGATACAACGATGGTGAAATTAGAAAAACGATGGTTTAAAGAAAATCAGAAAATTCCTCTAGTTCGATCTCAGATATCGTCCCTCACATGGACACCCGTCTGGACGAAACCCTACACCCATTATTTCATACGTTTGGGCCTCCCGGTATTTACACTTCAGTATAATATGCATGTCCTACGCGTCGCAATAATTTGAAAACCTAGGTGCCGAGTCCAGTGTTGAAGTTAAAATTGTTCGAATTTCAAAAATACAGGTACAAAGATCGCATTTTGGTGTAGATTCTGTAAATTCGATCGAAAAATGTTTCAGATAAAAGCCGTTCTGTGGTAATTTTTACGTATAAATCGATGTTTACTTTTCTTATATACTATTTAGAAACATTTGAAATTTGCACGTTCATCTCAAATGTATGAAATGAATAGTATCCTTGAATGGGTTAATTTTCCAAGTGCATGATACAATACGGGGCTCTAAAAGTGGATTAAAATCTAAATTCACTTACCGCAAGTTTTGTTTAATTTAATATGCCACAATCCCCATTTACCGCTTTATTACTCGCGCTCCGCGTAGAGCAAACAGTACAACGCGCATAAGAATTAAATGAGGTCTTTTTTCGCGTTTAGTAAGACCTTAGAAATGTACCGGGTGATTCATTAGAACTGAGGACAGTTTGAATGTCCCGCAAAACTAAAAATTTTAAAGGTTGGTAATAACAGAATATCATTTGTCTAATTCCAGTGGTGTATGTAGAATCACTTTCCAAGGGTAATAATTTATTTTTAATTTACAAATAAGTCTCCCATTTTACAACAAATTTTACATTTGCACTAAGCACAGTCACGATATTAAAATTGTATTAAATGAACTATAAAAATTGCTCAACATGTCCACCATTGTGTTCACGGCACAATTCCACTCTACGCTTCATATTGTCAAACACTTTCTCCAGAGTTTCAGGTGAAATTTTTTCTAGTTCCTCAATAATTGCTGCTCGTAGTTCATCAAGAGTATGTTGAATAAGACACTCCTGTAATTCGAAAATAAAGTTAGTAGGTATAAATTCATTCTACGTGTACCACTTACCAGCTTGGGCACTTAACTGACGGATTGACTTTTTGGGACTCGCCTCCATTCGTTGTCTGACATCTTGGACCACTTCATCGTTTCGTAGTAATGGACGACCGGTATGTTTTTCTTTACAAATGCAATTCTTGTTTTCAAATCGGTCCACAATTCGTGTCTTATGATTGGCAAATGCTTTATAAGAAATAATAACATCGGGATACTCTTCCATAAATTGCTTTCGACAGGACCGGAACGAATATGACCACGTTCCATCTTCATTACGTACAGCACTTCGAAAATGAGCCTTCAAAATAAAGGCATATTGTTCTTGTGTGAAGGGCATCCTCAAGAAGGGTTTTTGTAACCTACAAATGCAAATTAGTGTGATTTAACCGTTACTTAATTACTTACTTCAACAAACTCTTGAATTTACAGCGTAGCTCTGAAAAGAACTGTTTTTAAGAACGTTGATAATACAGTTTGCAAACGTAAATTAAAAACAACGACAAATTAACGAAATAACGACGGCACTGGTGACTAATATGAAGTAGTAAAATAACTAAAAATATATCATCGCCAATTCAATCACGTAAAAAACACTAGAATTGTACGCGCGAAATTCAAACTGTCCTCAGTTCTAATGATTCACCCGGTATATAACACCAAGAAAATTTCGACGGTGTTAAACTTGGTTCCATTTTACTAATTGCAGTGTGTTATTTGTCGTTCTACAATGTATAAAAAATGTTCTCTTTGACTTTAATACAGAGTAACATACCGAAATCGAAGCAGGGATGTTATTGACTTGCTGCTATATCAGTTTTTAGTTGGAGAGGGACATTGTTTACGAAGCCTCTAGTATTTTCAGCCGTTAGTGGTATGAGTGCAACTTTATAATTTTAAATTGCATATAATTTGGAACGTCTTTCTTAACTGAACTGTAATTTTTAAGATGTTATGGATTTGTCCGTCTGTCGGTCCGTATCTTCCTCGTGTAATTCGAGAACGGAAAGAGACAGCAATGTGAAACCTTCGCCAATCGATTTCTACGAGTTCAAGAAACAGTACTATTGAATATGAGCGTCAAAATACTGAAAATCGTGTAGGTTTCTTCGTATCTTGTTATTAGATAAGTATATTTCACAGTGAAGCTCCAAAGACGTTTTTGTTTATCTCTCTTGCAAAAAGGATTAGATGCCAAATTAAGATTTGAAACTTCTAAATCATCCCAAGAACTAAGCAATCCAAATTACGTTCAAACTAGTTTGAGGGCTACTGAAGTTAATAATGAAATGTTAATAAGTCACCATAGCAACTGATCTACTGCAGCTTAGCATCTAAGTAACATTTTTGGAGAAGACATTAAATGGCAAATTTAATTGCAAAAGGAAAAATGGACAAGTTTTTGGGTAATGCACTGCTTATATCCTGCCAATAGGTCAGTCTCGTTTTAGATGAGTCACCATGTGCAATGCAAATGCATCGTTTATTGTATAAAAATGCCTCGAAAAACGCTGTTTAGGATTTGTCCAATTAAAAATTTCGCAATTTAAAATTTTGCGGTGGGGTGATAGGGAGCCGGTGGTTGTACTATTGGAGATGAGAACGGATTTGAGCATTTTTGTATATATCATATCTATAATATAACATTTTTAGTCCATTCAATTTTTTTAAAATATATCATCCAATATACTTATTTATAATCCGAGTTTATAATCAATACGATAACGAGAATGTTATCATGCTGCTCTTTAAAGGTATTGAAAAAGGTCATCATTGCAGTAAACCCGAGAGTAAACCATAGTAAAATGCGCCTATATTCTGCGAAAATCTCGAATTGATGTGAACTAGATAATCCTAACTCAATCTTCAGTCCCTTGTCTGCGCAATTGATCAAAGTGTAGAGATAAGTTTAGTCAATTTCAACAGTTTTGCTTAATTATTTTCTTATCGTGTCTGTATTGAAAAGGGAATTAAAATTAATATTTTATTTTATGATAAGATCAAAGCAGCGCCGTCCACATAATTTTTCATAGTAAGTATTCCTTATTTATATTTAAGGAGCAAATTCCTCGGAAAAACTGATATAATAGGATTGTGGCCGAGTGGGAACAATGAATTTCTATAATCTTTTGAGAAACGGTCTTGAATATTTATTCATTCAAATTCTGTGGGGGATGAATAACGAAGTTGTTTTAGTCGTATGCGTCGAACTCGCCGTCAATTCATTTCCACCAACTTATTCGCTTGTAAAAATTCTGAGGATTACGCCAACGCGTTAGTATTTCAGATTGGAAAATGATGTTCTCATAAATGAAATAATAGAAGAAAAGTTTTCCAATCCGACATTCCTTAATCGTTGCAGGACATGCAAAAATGAGCTTACAAAAACATCCCTTTTACGCTCGCTTTTACGTATACCCGCATTTATTCTAAGTAACCAGGCAATGCAATTCCGACTAAAACTACGTCTCTGTAGTTCAACTTTTGTAAGCAGCATTGCTTTGAAGATACCTAAAGTAACATCAACTACAAACTACCGCAGAAATTCGAGCAGAAATTAGTACATTTTAAGTGTACAAGATACAATTATCGCAGCCATGCAGCTGAAATCGATTATAAAATGTAGTCCATGCGAATACGAATTACCACACTGTACATTTACATGGCCACAATTTGAATACCTATATAATAGACAACTAGGCCAGTATAATTTACATTCACTATCAGCTTGGGAATAATCAATGAGCTGACTATCCAAAATTGCTTGCAATACCGAAAAATGAGAATTTCATTTTTTCAAGGGCCTGACCTTTCAATTACAATTTCAGAAACATTTTGTCAAAACGAGGTGAATTAAAAAAAATACAAGGTTTCTAGAAATGAGTAGTAAGTTGGGGTTGGTATATATGTATTTATTACGTATGGGGTGAACCTTTTATGGTAATACTCTGACGGTTGCCTTTGTTCATGTAAATTACACTGCAAATGCGTTGCATTATGTGCAAATCCTATTCTATTGTTACTAGCTACATAGTAAGAAAGGACTCGCACAGTAATATTTTACCTGAAATAAAAAAAAATGACTGACTTTGATTCCCTACTTCCCTTTCTAGTAATATTGGAGATGATTTTTTTACAAACATTTCAATTAAATGTAGACGAAGAACACAGTGCCGCCGAGCTGTATAGCGACACGTGTTTTTCTAACGCAGCAGCATAGATTATTTTTATATTTTGGTTTACATACACACATTAGGTACATTGGTGACCTTCTGTTTTACTTTCAATGTAGTGTGCGAACAAAGCTATGTAGTGTGTTCAGGATAAGAATGAACAGTATGGAAAAAACGGAAACCATAAAAGATACACAGTTGGTTAAATTAAAAAAAAAAATGAATAAGACTAGTAACACGAGCGCAATTTGAATTGTTAAGTACTTCATAAAGGTCATGTAACGGACTATTTATGTGTACAGAGGAAAGTAAGTTACAGTATAAATATTCTTATAAATCAGAAACTTAGCATTGCGCAGTCTGTGCATGCGCATACCTGATGTTTAAAATATGCGATATGTTTGCCTTTGATAGAACAATGTTTGGTTGAAATTTCAAAAAAATTTCTCCGTAAATAAGAAAGATAACCTCGAAGATATAGCATTGTACATTTTGCTCATGCACGAACTACATATCTTGAAAACTGTAGGAGTTGAAGACCTCGGACGGACGGACGGACGGTGAAAGTGGCCATAGAGCGAAGCAAGTGTTGCAAGAGATAAGTAACGTACCTAACTTAGCTATGCAAGTAACTTTTTTTGGAGCTGTATATACTGAAAGAAGAAAACGAATTCCTTGGAAAAAAGAGCAGACAACGGGCACTTAACATTCAATATTAATGTATTGGTCACGCAGAGCTATAGTTTTACTCATATTATTCGTCCAATGGGCAATGATGTACATAGGCAGCGTAGTCATGCATGTTATGGCAAATACCGAGGCAAATACCATTTTAGTAAATTTTAGAATCGCTTGTTCTCAGAAATAATGAACCGTAGGGGAAAAGTTTAAGGGAAATTTTTGTAGATAATTACATGATCTACAATTTTTGTCTGAAGTATTTTTATCATAAAACTAACCGTTTCGCTAAAAAATCCAAAAAACACATTTTTCTACAACTGTCAAAAAATCCTGTCATTTTCTGACGAATTTCGAAACACGAAGTACTAGATTTTTAAACGGTTAATTAATAAGTAAGGTTGCTATTGACAACGTGCGTGCAACCGTCAACAATGAAAAAAAGTAGTTCGCATACATGACAAAGTTGAACTTGAACAGCAAATTTAATTAACAATCGGTTCAGTTTTAGAAAAAATATTGTATATAACGCTAGCGCGAAGTTATTTCGCGCATTTGACCTTCAGTCTCAATGCGCGAAATTGAACTTCGCGCTTTTGTTATACAGAGTGGCCCAACGAGAAGTATACAGAGGGCTTTTAGGGTATTAAATTTAGAAATTTAGAAAAATCCTCGAACACGTCAATTTTGTATTCGAGGGGGACAACTTTTGGAATACAAATCACGAACCCAAGTCTTCACCCCTCTACGTAGGGAGCTTAACCCCCAAAATTTTAAATGGAATCCTATGGCAAATGACACGTAATTTGAAAGCCCTGATTTAAGTCCTTTAGATTACTTCTTGTGGGGATATTTAAAGAATAAAGTTTATGCTACTCCGCCCGGAACATTACAAGGGTTGCGAGCACATATAACCATAGCGTAAGAATAGAATACACTATGGTATAACTCAACAATTTCGAGCGATTACCCCTGAAATCTTACAACATGTACGGCAGCGTTTTGAAGCAAATCTTTATTATTGCATGGAAGCAGGCGGAAGGCAATTCGAGCATTTATTGAAATAAATGTTGTGTGTTTAAAGTTAGTTGTTATTTTTTGCACAATTTAAACCTTTTTTAATACAAGGTGACTTAGATCGCATTTGTTTTGGTTTTTTTAGAAAAAACCATTTCAAATGCAAATATCTCCGAAACGAATCAATAGAATTTAAAAAGCAAAGCATATTAGTAATCACGATTAAATTGACTTTCAAATAACGTGTCATTTGCCATAGGATTCCATTTAAAATTTTAGGGGTTAAGCTCCCTACGTAGAGGGGTGAAGACTTGGGTTCGTGATTTGTATTTCAAAAGTTGTCCCCCTCGAATACAAAATTGACGTGTTCGAGGATTGTTCGAAATGTCTAAATTTAATACCCTAAAAGCCCTATGTATACTTCTCGTTGGGCCACTCTGTATAAATAACTATTTTGCAAACTTTGACCGTAAATAAAATTTGTTGCACACATGGGAACTATGGGGACTTTTTACAATTTCATTCTAACGTTCATGTAGATTTTCAACTTCTTGTGAATTTATGTAAGGATGAATTCTATTTTGACCGGATTAATTTTGGGAGGTTTGGGTAAATACCCTGGTAAATACAGTCGACGAATCAAATATTGGCCAAGGTCTAAGGCTGTTTATTTTTGAAGGTAATTTTGCGAAAGGGAAAGAAATCGTTTATGGGGATTCGGCGAGGGATTCGGGCAGTTGTGTGTGTCTTGTGGGTTATGTATAGGTAAAGCACCTGGGCTAGCAAACGGTCCACTTCACAATAAAGACAAAATAAGATAAGATGTGTCGGTTTGTCCATTCGCCCTTCTATCCGTTAAATGTTAACTAGCATAGTGATCTCAAATCTTTTTCAATTTCTTCAATCTCCATCATGGATCATTGTTATTGAGTCTCGGGTGCGCCGGTTTAAAAATAGGCGCTGGAGGAAGAATTTCCATCCTGAAAATCCTATGCAATTCTCCATATCTTAACATATTGCTATCCTTACATTAACACAAAAAGCCACTTATTTAAAGATATATTGTTTGTTTAAAGACGTTAATGCCATTTGTTGCGTCACAAAGATAAAACGGAAAAATGTAAATAATTTTCCTCGAAATACCTTTAGCCTACATAAGGGAAATGAATGCAGTCAATTATAATTCTCCAGGCAAAGAAAATCGATAGACTAACAAAGAAGACATCTATGTAAGTACGTACCTACCCTTAGTATAGCTAAAAAGGCATTTAGTAAGCGCAGGTGGCGTATGCGTTTCTTTTAAAAAAAGGTTTAATCTTTATAATTGCTTCTACCCTCTTATAATACGCGTTATATTCATGTACGGGCTGCATATCCCAGATCCCTATTATAATGTATTGTTTCTCACTTTGCGGTTTAATTACTTCTACGTCTCCTTTCTAGGTACAATTAAAATTCGCCTATTATGTTTTCTGAAATTGTGAACGCAAAGTAAGGTCTATTGAAATTTAATTTTCTAAAAGTTTTGCTTCAATTGTGAAGGGTGTCGACCGCAATGAAAATTGGAAAGTGATGCAGGTCATTGGCGATGAGTGAAAAGTTCAGGTTTTGTTAGCATGACCAAATTTGTTTTTACCTAATTGGTTTGACTTGACACTGATGAGTGCTACCTTGGTATTGTAGTGATGACAATGACAATTTATTTCATTCAAGCGCCTATCTAACAATGAAGTTTGTATTTTTCGTATTCATAAAAAGCGACTTCTTTAGATAGTTACAATTCTTCCAATCGAGTCTCCAGGTTTGGAGTAGCGAAACCATTGTGCTAATGAAAGTGGAATCCACTCATTGAATCTTCCAGTTACTTTAAAACAAGTTAAAAAGTAATCGTAAACGATTTACATAAAGCGCATTTCCACTTGCATTCATTTCCCATTTGTAAGATGCAACTTCTGTTAAAATCGTAAAATCCGGCCACAAATATGAAAGATAGCGTTGCACATGGGCAATCCATTGTTGACGTGCTACTTCAATTTCAGTTTATGAGAAGAATTTCATTTCAATGCTTTTCTAAATAAGAAAGTTGGAACTGTGCATGCGCAAACCTAAATTTTAAAACTAATGTTAGATTTTCTTTTGTTCCAAGCGCCTAAGTATCAAATTTCACTTAAATAGTTCCATAGATAAAAAAGTTGGCACGGCGCATGCGCAAAATAAAATTTTGAAACTGGCGCTAGATTTTCCTTTATTCCAAGTGCCTATGTATCACATTTCCTTTAAATTCTTCCATAAATAAAAAAGTTGGCACTGCGCATGCGCAAAGCCAAATTTTGAAACTGGCGTTTGATTTTCATTTATTCGAAGTGCTTATGCCTCAAATTTCGTTTAAATTCTTCCATAAATAAAAAGTTGGCACTGCGCATGCGCAAAACCAAATTTTGAAATTGGCGTTTGATTTTCCTTTATCCCAAGTGCCTATGTATCAAATTTCGTTTAAATTCTTTCATAAATAAAAAAGTTGGCACTGCGCATGCGCAAAACCAAATTTTGAAATTGGCGTTTGATTTTCCTTTATTCCAAGTGCCTATGTATCAAATTTCGTTTAAATTCTTACATAAATAAAAAAGTTGGCACTGCGCATGCGCAAAACCAAATTTTGAAATTGGCGTTTGATTTTCCTTTATCCCAAGTGCCTATGTATCAAATTTCGTTTAAATTCTTCCATAAATAAAAGTTGGCACTGCGCATGCGCAAAACCAAATTTTGAAATTGGCGTTTGATTTTCCTTTATCCCAAGTGCCTATGGATAAATTTCGTTTAAATTCTTCCATAAATAAAAAAGTTGGCACTGCGCATGCGCAAAACCAAATTTTGAAATTGGCGTTTGATTTTCCTTTATTCCAAGTGCCTATGTATCAAATTTCATTCAAAATAAGTAAAAAAGTTCGCAATTCCGTTTATAAATGGTCGAGATGCGAAAAGGGCACTGTGAATTTTGAATCGATTCGATTCAACTTTTGGCATTGCGTATTATATGGCTAAAGTTATGCCCATATTGAATTTCATGCAATTCAGTTCATAACTAACGGAGATGTAAAAGCGATCGGACATTTCTAAACAAATTTATCGTTCACACGGACAGATAGATGGACAGACAGACAAAGGAACAGACGGACAGACCAACCGGCAGGCGACAGATAGCAATGCAAAATTATAAACGATCTCTAGGATCGTTAATAAACGGCAAAAGTGTAAAATTATGGAACATGTAAAAAAACGGTTTTTTGTTTTTTTTACAATAACTTTTTTTGTAAGCGGTACAGAAAAAATTCCTTCCTTGGTACAAGACTCGACACCATAACGAACCAAATAGCGAAAAAAGTAGAACAATAGCTCTTAAGATAAAGAACTAGTAGCGTCGCAAAACGATTGGACGGACGGGCGGACGGACGGACAAAGTGGCCACAATAGCGCATTTTTTTTTATTTTTGTGGAAATGCGCTAAAAAGAACAGAGTTTCTTACTGTTCCGAGTTCGAGTTGTCGGTCTTCCCTGTTCCAGTTAACTCTGATAGATAACCTCTTATGTGAATATATTGTTTCCATGGAAATTATAAACATGAATAATATGCTTGGTCTCTGCACAAACAGGACAGAATTAAAAAAAAAAGGCTATGCATACTTTATTTAATTTCTCATTATTTTTTTTCTTTGTCACCGCAAAGTCTTTACGCCAAATTGTATTGCGTTAAGGTAGCGTGCTGAATTAATCTTTTTGTACTCATTGAATGGAAAGATAATGTTTCCAAGCATCCTCGATGCACGGGAAAACGACTTTCCCGCATCGCGGTGTTTTTTAGTTTCCGCTGGAGAGAAGGGGTTATGTGCGTTCTTCGGTTGGTAGTACTTATTGAAGTCAACGAACGTCATGTCATGGTTAACTGTCATCTGCTGTAAAATCAATTAAACCGTTGGTTGAGGGTATTTAGTGCGATTAATCGGAAACAGACGTACACTAAGTTTTACGTAAATATATAAACAAGAACTTATAACGCAATCAAATTATTTTTCAGAATTGGAACTCAAGAAAAAGTAAAATTTATTGTTAAAACGTCTTAAAATGTGACCAGTGATATTCTGCAACTATTCGCATATGCAGTTTAAGAAAGCACATATTAACACACACAAAGCTTCCAAGGATTTTAAATGTAACGAGTGTATTTACGCAACTCAAGATATTCAGTGCAAACGATGCAATGCCGTGACCAGTAGTAGCACTCATTGCAAAGGCAAAATATGTATTAACCAAAGATGTGGAAGTTTTAAATGTGACCAGCGCATTATTAAAAGTGGGTAGTTACAAAATTATGTTACCAACCAAACATATGATTGTGTTACCAACTCATGATTAAAAAAAAGCTAATTTACAAACCTTTATTAATTTTGACCTTTTTTTACGCAATGCGTTACAAAAAATATTGTACCTAACTCTTTCGGAAAGAATTTTCCCGCATTCGCACTAAATGCAGCACTCCCTACGGTCGTGCTGCAAACAAAGTGCTCATGCGGGAAAATTAACTTACCGAACTTGTTAGGTAAATAACTATTTATGGCGAGAATTAAACACTGCAGTATTTTCTCCTATTTGTTGTATGTTGGTTATTGGATCTGTTCATTATATTTTGGTCTTTCCATCTTAATATCTAAACTAAATTGTTTCACGGTAACTAAGGAAAACTATATTTATGTTGACAATTCGTTGCGCATCACCTCGTCATAAAAAAATTAATGGCGTTTGGAAAGCCTCCCGATGTCAAAGCTTTAAAGGTGACTCCCACTGTTGAAGATCAATTATGGAAAGCGAACGTCAGATGTGAGGAGGTTGCTTCGGAGGCATGGAAAACTAAATGGGGTTGGATTTTAACCGAATATGGGTATACGCTTTTAAATTTGATTTTCAAATATTCAGCAAGCGTTTATATTTTACCTGTATATGAAATATGTGCGATTCGTGTTGCTTTAGATCGATACAAAATGAATACCGTATTAATGTTCTGTGATTTTTTAAGGAAGCTTCACGAAAAAATGACAGAAGCGTCTAAAAACTCGGTGACGTTGCGCGTTATTGCAAAGAAATTGGTTGAAAACAGAAGTACAAAGCCTGTTCCCGTTACTGAGTCGAATAAAATCGGCTGGCTGGCTTCGCGTTCTGAATTTAAATTAGAAAAATATGGACCCGATGTATACAAAGGCATGCCATTTATTAGTCTAAGTGGAGTTTAAATAAAACTCCTTCTCTCCGTTTTTCCAACTCGTAAACAAATTCCCTGTACTTTTTATTTCATTTTCAAACATTTACATTCGATATGCGTAAGGTTTTAAATTTTGAAGCGTACGCCGTACGTGTGCTTGACACTACTGAAATGTCTCATTTTACTAAATCCACTAAACATTTCACGTTAAACGGTTTCTCATTTGTACTACGTTAACACTAGAAATTAAGTAATTTTTAAATGCCATTAAAGTGCTTTTGCACGTGTACCTGCCATACCTCAGTGTTTTCGTTTATAAACTTTGGGAATTACTTAATCCCATCCCATTTGAATACGGCTTTGAAGTTGTGTAAATGTGTTCATCCTGCTAGTACATAATATATTTATCCTTTTCCTAAATTGAATTTATGTTATTTCATTGGAACAAATTTAGGAGGTATTCATTTTTAGATTCAGTTATAAATGACCATTTTCTTCTATATAATCTATATATTTTATGCAAATATTTCCCATTTAAGGGCCGGTCTTGCACTTTACGTTATATCAGACAAGTTTAACTGCAACTAAAAGATTGGCCATAAACCACATTAGCACTACTCCAGTGGAGAAACCATTTCCGACCAGGTTGATTGAAAATGGATTTGTATACCGGATGTACAGTAAAAGGGAACTCTTTTTTTTCAAATTTTCAAAAACTAATTTTAGATTCGTGATTTTCATGTTGAAAAACCTCCATATACGAAATTTCGTCGAAATCAGATTTTTCACCACCCCCATCTAGGGGTGCGCCCTTTCGTGGTAAGAATTTGAAAAACATTTTTGCAAAATCAGAAAGGGCATTCCAGAAAACCTATGAAACAAGTTAATAAATAATTAAAATTTGATCTTTTTTTCGTTTTTTTCTACATAGATTTGTTGTTCTCTATATCAATAACTTTTATGAAATAATGTGTTTGGTATTCATCAGCTATCAATTTTGCTACTTCCTTGGCCACGAATGTCTACATAACTTGTTTCAAACATGCCAATAGTTTGTCCAAGCGCAAATATCGGCAATTAAGTGACTGTATTAGTGCCCTTTTCCAAATAATGCGTTTCCTCAAACGGCAAAAGCTAAAATACGCTTTTTGCAAGAAGCTAACTTATGACGTTCTTGCATTGTCCGCTAGCTTGCCAGTTTTTTCATCCATAAACATGTATGGTCGTATGGGATATTATAGGTAAGCGGCTCTCTAGTTTACCACTCCCACCAAACACTTTTCAACTCATTATTGGAAAAATGGTTGTTGTTCTGTTGTTTTCAAATTGGAATCGTTCGTTCGTGATGTTAATATCCAGGGTGAGTTTTTTTTTCATTTTCAGCGGGGCGGCGACAAGGCGGGATAATCGGGAAAATTTGGAATGGTCAGAGAATTTGATGAACTGGAAATTGTCAAGGAATTTAATGAGAAATGCACCATTTATTTTATTTAATTTTAGGAAAAATCCGTGAATTAAAAAATTCAAATTTAAAAAAAAGCAGGCAATACTCGGAGAGGGTTGTACTGGCCCATTGAGGCCGGGTCGTGCCCACGCACGTTACTCATTCTGGTCTCATAGCCACGTATTCGTATTCTAGTGTGCGTGACTGGTGTTCAATTCTGGAAAGTAGTGTTTTGCTTTTAGGGCAACAGCATTTCTTTTTGATCTTGAGATTCAGTTACAAAACTTGTATATGGTGCACTTTGCACGAGTACTGCCCAACTGAGGAGCTTAGGACACGAACATTCGCCAAGCAGAGTGTGCTGTGAGAAATACCAGAAGAATGACTCCAACATATGATAATTAAAAATGTATGGCTGTGTTAAGACTCGCCGCCAAGGGGGACGCTCCGCTCACAGGTCTCCAGTTGTGAAATAATAAACAAAGAAAATATTTGACGGTGTGTTGGAATTTCTCGCAACTTACACGAAATTGAAATCTATAACACAGGCAGAGGTGATGGTGTTTAGTCTCAAACCCGCCGCATAAACAACCAGCGAGCTCAGGGTTAGAAAATAGTCAAAGCGTTCTGAGCTTATGATCTTCGGTCCATCGTTGCCACTTACCATGTACGAATTTCCCCAAACGTGTACGTTAAACTTCCCAGAAACTCCCAATTAAGCAACAATTGTCGATGGAAATTACCGTAAACAGTTACAGGTGAAATCTAAAGAAGGCTCACGATAAATAAACGAAATGCAACATGGCGATACATACTTACGACAAAAGGGTAAAAACGCATATGTATAACCTCCACTAGGAGCACAGGCAAATAATCACCAGAGATCAATATATATTCGGAAAATGACAATTAGAATTCCATGCGTTCTATCTTACGCTTTCAGCTTCAGCTGTTTTTTTAATCGACGTGTTGTTAATTTGTTGCTGCGCAGCTGCACCAATTTATTTGAGAGTCAGACATGTGGTCTTGATATCAAGCAACAAATTGAATGATTTTTCTTCGGATTTTTCTAGTTGCCCATTATTTGAGTATGTTGTCTAGTAAATCCCTTAACTCTGTTGGGGTAGGCACAAAAAATGCGAACGAGGACAATTTATTGTTTCGTGCGTAATTTGGGGTACTTTGATATAATAAAACGATTAAACGTGAGTGTTACTTATTAGTTATTAGCATATCCAACGTGACTCGTTTTCTTTTGTGGAACTAATTTCGGGTCCGTGAAGTTGGAGTGTCGACTTGAAAGGAATTAAGTCCCATGTATCTCATAATTTTGTGCTCATTTTGTGCTAATTTGTGCTGCTAATTTAAAATTTTGTGCTCATCAGCTTAATGAGTAGGTAATTCAACTTTTTCTGATGACACTCCAACTTCACGCTGGAGTGTCAACATTGATATTTTCAAAATTTTCTTTTACTCTAATTTTGCGCTCATTTTGTGCTAATTTGTGCTTCTAATTTAAAATTTTGTGCTCATCAGGTTAATGAGTAATTCAACTTTCTCTGATGACACTCCAACTTCACGCTTGAGTGTCAACATCGATATTTTCAAAAATTTTTTTTACTATAATTTTGTGCTCATTTTGTGTAAATTTGTACTGCTAATTAGCAGTGCATGTACTGTATTGTCTAAGTTGGAAACCCATAATATTCTAGACACCGAAAGAATTGTAAAGATATTCATAGAAAAAGAATATGATGGTGTAAAGATAGAAAGCTAATATTCTCCAAAAGGTTTCGCAAATACTTGCAGTTAGTAATGAACAATTAGGTACATCTCCAGGTGTAAATTTTCGAAGTAGGTTATGGGTACGTTCCACTTAACGCCCACAACGATCACGACCGCGACCGCGGGTTTGTCGTTCCACTAGCTTAGAGGCGTTGTGGGCGAACCCTTAAGTGGAACGCTTTTGCGTACGGTGTGACGTCACGCGTGAGTGAACAATTTTCCAACATGGACGCCGTTGAGGAGATCGTAATGCGTAAAGGATAGAAAGTGGGGTGGATTATGAATTCAAAAGTCACATTAAGTTAGTAAAATTTTTTTTATTTTTTAGTACCAATTATTGACACATACTTCTTCGCTTTACACAAGATATTGCTTCTTGTTAATAAAATATTGAAGACGACTTTTGAATTTCTATCATAAATGCTGCGGCCATACTTAATACGATGATAATGAACACTTCTCCCCAGAATTTCTTCTGGGAATGCTGCTTCGAAAACAATTTCTCTTCTTCATTCAAAACTAATATGCATTTTCATTAATCGTTGCATTACCATTTATACGAGTCTTATTCGCATTCCCTGGTAGAGCACTTTGCAGCAAACTAGTTGCAAATCTAAGATCTACAATAAAGAAAATTGTGTTAGAGCAGAATTTTCCTTAACAAATAACTTTAACATTCACGAATCAGCATATATACTTACCAGTTTGTGCATGTAGAACATCCATAGTGATGTCCACCACAAGGTTACGTTCTGAAACACGTAATTATATTTTCTCCATAGCGAAAACGAAAAATTTGTAACGCATGCGTGTTCAAACAATCAGTGTCTGACAGTTAAATGTCTCTAGAAATGTCTCCTGTCAAGAATGTAAGGTTATAAAATTAGAACGCCCACGCTGACCCAGGTACGATAGGCGAGCGCCGTGGGCTCGTTGCGGTCGATAGTAATGACGTCATATCTGACGTCGCGATTGCGACCATAACGACTGTGGTCGTTATGTGGAACGGCAACCGGGCGTCGTGGTCGTTGCGGGCGTTAAGTGGAACGTACCCTATGTAATGTCGTCTCACGTGACGTTGCCAATGTCAATTTCGCTAAGATGGCGGGTCCAGGTAAAATTGCGATGTCATCCACGTTCTGCGTAAGAAATATCCAGGTAGAGAATAACGTAAAAGTAATCCAGAAGAGAAAATGATAAGAAGTTAAGAGAGAAGTTTGAGCGAACCTTGAGGGAAGATAAAACCCTAAAAAACGTATTAAGAAAAATGCTGAAGTACATACCTCACACTAATTACTTGCAAAGCGTATTCAATGGAGCACAGCCACAGCACATCAGAAATAGAGAAAAAAACACTCAATAGAAATATGTTCACAGCCAAAACAGATTGACACAAAGTCAAGTAAAAAGTAATGGCGTATCGAGAAAAATTTGCACGCAATTAACCCAGATCCAGATCGTCTCTGAAAGGAAGAAGTATAGGACATGCGTATGTAGAAAAAAAAGAAGATCACGACCTCTAGTGGCGAACCAAAGAACTATGGTAATAACAAATATACTATAGAAATGACTGGCATCTAAACTAAACGGGTTTACAGAGGGAATACCTAGATGGGGTGAGAAATATAAAAAGAGGTGCAACTCGATTAATTTAGATGAGGCTTATTGCAAGATGCTTCAGTACATCGGCGATTTGGTAAAGAATAATTGATTTCCGCAGTTGTAGCAGCGTTTATTTATTTATTTACTATTCCTATCTTGTTCTGGGCCCTCAACAGGCTTACGCCCAATTACAGAGTGACCCGCATAGTGCTTTTTAGAGGTGCCTCTGCAGAGAAGGTATTAAGTTGTTTTATACTACTCCGGTATTTACCTTACGAATTAGGAAAACTGCAGGAAAACGTCATTCAGAGTAGCCGGCAGAATGCTCGCAACTGGTCTAAGGTATCTGCCACAGATGAAAAATTCACCCCAATCCAGGTTCGAACACCCGACCTCCGGAATTATAGTCCAACGCTCTTTCATTGGTTTTCAATCGGTTTGTGTTGTTGGGTGGCGTTTAAGCAT